ATATATATCGTAATATTAATTCTTTTAACGCCTCCGTGAAACAACGCCTCGGTGTAAATTCACCAATCTCTCTTCTCAGAAACCGTTGGCAGGAATGTGCTCATTCCATACACTGGGGTTTCTATAGCCTATGTGACGAGGACGATAAGCCACGTTTCTAGGCAGGATATTGGATGACAAAGAAAAAAAAACATCAAAAAGGGCCCCGGGGCAACACCTTACAAGGGCTCCCCACCCTTTCACTTGGGCCCCCCCCCCCCCCGCCGCCCCCCCCACCCAGCCCCCCCCCCATAAGACCCTATTTGTCAAAACCCACATACATGGATATGATTCTATGTGATTATTTTTTTTGCAAAGACGCCCATAAAACCATAATGTAGAGTTTGTTCTGACAACAAAAATTTTGTTCTTACCCCGAAAATTGTTCATCTTGGTCCGGGCCCCCAGTAGACCCGGGCCACGGGGCAGCGACCCCCCTGACCCCCCCCCTCGACGCCACTGTGTACCGCAGTGCTCAAATCTACAAAATATCGTTCAAGACCGCGAAATAAACAGTCTGATTACCTCTGTGCTCAAAATGACGAAACAAAAACAAAAGCAAGATAAACGTATTGCAAATGTAAATGTATCGAAGGATTTTACTTGGTAAAAACGAACTACAAACTACCACCAAAAGTAACATGAAAAGCGGGGGGGTGGGGAGAGCGGTAGAGAACCTCGGCAGGATAGACATCATGGGGAACATTTGAGTGAAGCGTCAGTACACAGGAATAAATAAGGGAATTGTGTGGACGCCATGTGGGACGGACGCAACGCACGTAGGTCGCTAAACTATTCGAATAAATATACATACAGTAATTTTTACATGGTGCACAGCAATAATAAGTATGCCGTTCATACTATAACATATTTTAACCTCGCCTACACAGCTTCACTGCGCACATGCAATATGCCTGCATACTTAGCTGGTGGTCGTACCGTGCCATTTAATAATCCATTTTTAGCGATTAACTATTTTAGCATTATAGGCCTATTAAAAAAAAATGATTTTCAGCAGAAATGTCACACTATGATGAGAGAGAGCAAAAAGACGTACTGCACACTGGGTCGTAAAAACAGTAAAAAATTATGTTGACCTAAATAGTATTCGTACTTTTTATACCAGTACCATATTCATGTCAAAACGCCATTAATTCCTTGATACAAAATGTGTATGTAGCAATACAGAGCTCATAAATTGAATTTTATATTAGAGCAAAACCATTAACATTTAGAGCAGATATATGTCACAGATTTTTTATGAAAAAGGAGTAAAATCTAGTGAACTAAGTGTACCCGCTACCTTCTTATAATGTGTCATTCAAATTTAAAAATTAAGTTTAGTCAGTATGAAAATGCTATCTTTCGTATCATTTAAATTGGTTTAATGCAATCTAAAGTGGTTACACTCAGAGGCGGCGGTAGCAGTGATCGAGGGGGGGGGGCAGGGGGTCAAATGACACCCGTCGGGAACCTTTGGGCCCCCACTTAGACTCCTGTAGGGAAATTATCAGCCATGTCGTCGGGTAAAAACAGATCTCGAGCACCGAACGTACAATTCAAGCATGCATTACTAAGCTGTCAAAACTGTTTAGTGCGAGCAGTGCTACCGTATGTGCGATGTGTTGTATAATATTGCGATCGTATGGGATGCAGTGATGTGGCAACTCTTTCCCGACAGAGGGCTGGTACCCCTACAGGGGACTAGTACCCCTGACATTTTTTAAAATAAAAAATCCTTAAAAAAAAAAAAAAAAAAAAAAAAAAATTCCCCGACAAATTCATTTTTTTTCCCGACCGAGGGGTGGGGGGGGGATCAAACACTTATGAAACATAAAGCTCTGTCCAGACTATCAAGCATGACATGCCTAAATATGGTCATGAATGACATCACATCATGACCATATTTAGACAATTTATGACTATATATGGACATATACACCAGTGAAAATGCGATAGCGTAGACAAAGCTTTAGTCCATTCCATAATATAATTATACAACGGCCAAATCTTAGAGCCTGCTCACTCGTGACTTTCGTAATTTACAATTTGAAAATAGGCCTAATAGTAAACAATTATTTAGTTTTATAATATAGTTTTAAAAATTATAATAGATAAGCCTAATATAAACTAATGGAAAGGTAATCCTATAAACTTATGTCTAACAACGTATACTTACTTTCATTATTACATTTTATTTGTGTCTCTGTATGATTTACATGTGAATGAAACGGAATGGATGTCAGTTCTAAAGCTACTTGACTTCGCTGATTAAATTTGCAATCGACTCGTATTTATATTTTGATTTAGGTTTGGATTAAATGTGACATAGAAAAGATTTAAACATACTTTTCCAATACACATTTGATAATTTTGTCGATCAACTACAATAAGCAAATATTGCGCTCAAATCTTGACCTTTGGCCTATTCGATAGGGTAGTGACAGGCAGTTAAGCGTGTAGTCTGCTAGTACTGTACGTCAAATGATATAATAAATATTGAATATTATTATATTAACTTGATATACATACTGTCTACTATCACTATCAACTTCTTATATTATAATAAATATTTGATATCTTTCGACGCTATTGTTTAAATAAATAAAATCTCTTTGTTAGAAATTACACAATACAACATTGATCAATATAATATTAACAAGGTAATAAATTTGTGTTTATTGTAAATTAAAAAGAATAGCAGTGCAGTACTTATTAAAATAGCTGTGTACGTCTAAGGGAAGTAAAAACGGGAAAACGTTAAGCCACAGTGTCAACAACGATTGATTGATTGATTGATTCATTCATTCATTCATTCATTCATTCATTCATCCATTCATTCATTCATTCATTCATTCATTCACTTTTTCATTTATCTATCCATTTACAGTATTCATGCATTCATTGTATCGCTTACTCGCTCATTCAAAAAGTTAATCATCTATTGACTGACCTATTCATTAATTTATTCATTCATTCATTCGTGAATTTAATCATCTATTGACTTATTCATTAATTTATTCATTCATTCATCATTTTTTTAATCAATCAATCATGTACTTGCTCATTTGTTAATTTATTCATTTACTTATTTATTTATTCATTATTTCATTCATGTCCCTATTCGTTATTGCAAGTCATTATTCATATATTCGTTCTATTATATAGAAAAAACCTAATTAAGTTTGCTTATCATAATTTTGATTTATATGATGTAATTAAGATTTATTAAGATTCTATTAACGACTGTCATCCATCTTTGCCAAACAATAATATTGACATCAATTTCAGATAGCTAAAAGCAGCAAGTATTGTGATAAGAACGTTACAAATTGAATAATTCCAGTAATTTACTGTAAATATTCAAAGAAAGATTCAATAGACGAAGCATTGGTTAATATGATATGAACTAGGCGAATAAACAGTAGGTAGTAATATTGTACGATATTTTCGATTGAAATAACTTTCAAAATAAATTAGTGCATTTGTATCTGTCTACGTTTTAAAATTTCTTTCTTTCTTCCTTTCTTTTTTTTTTTTTTTTTTGATCTGGCAAATTGTTAGGTTTTAATGATTTAGTGTTTTTCATGCGTCTAGAATTCTTTAATACAGTTTTAAGTTATGATAATTGCACATAATATTACTGGATTTGGCTATGCACTGCGATAATAATTTTGGTTGTAGACCTATGTATATGTATATGTATGTGTAAATATATATATATATATATATATATATATGTATATAATTATATATATATATATATATATAGAATGTGCAGACAAATAAATACATACATTATAACATAACATATAAATGTTATTTATCACGAACATTTACGTTGCAACTGCGACCTTTCTCAACGTGTAGTATATTGAACCATAAACTGAATAGAAATCCAACAAAGAAAGAAAGAAAAGAAACAAAAACCGAACCCGGTTGAACCTTTTGCATACATGGTCATAACTACTTGACCACGAAGTCATTGTGGTGATTCAAAAGCCAGTAAAATTTGAGTTCCTTTCATTATTTTAACGTGTCTGATCTGACGTCACTACTCGATGTAGCACTAATACCGCACGAGACTAGACTACCAGAGATCTGTAAGATAAGCCCTTTTCTGTGCATATAGGCATATATATGTATATATATATCTGTATATATATATATATATATATATATATATATATATACATTTATACAATATTACTGGCCTGCCCTGGCTTCAGGAATACAGAATCCTAACTAATTGCCGTTCACTTATTGATTTAAACCCGGACTCTAACATTACGCATCTCTCACACTATCTACCGAATGACCTTAAAAATTAAGAAGACCTGCAACTCGAAACCTAAGGCTGTTATCTTTTATTGTTTTCTGTTGCGATACATATTTAATCTGAAGGGTCATTAAGTGATGGATAATGCGTGATGCCAGATAATAGAGTCCGGATTTTGATCTATCAGTGTCCTAAAATGTACTGAGTTAAAATGAACCTTGAAATTAAAAACAAACTAGACAATGGTCTCAATAGAAAAAACGTAAGCATCTTGAGCGTGCATTTTATGAAGATGCGCATTAACATTCTTATTATATCTGTACCACTATGAAATCAGTTCACACTGAAGAAATCTCGGGGATCAAGATGAACTGCTTGTATAGGAATGGCTACATGAAAAAAAAAACTACGTCAACTCCTATTGTAATCACATTAACACATCAACATATATATAGTTTTTCAAACTCCTTGTACTCTTTTCCAACTTCTTAAAATTGTGTTCTAAATCATTTTTTGTTAGGAAGGGTATGGATTGGATGCGCAGGCTTAATAAGTTTATAAAAAGCGTATCCATGTATATTGTTGCAATATTGTGGATAATAGCCGTTGATGGATTTTGGAGCGTCAAAAAATAATTGTATTAAATTGAATGTATGTTGGTGCAAAAACACATTTTTTTAAGTCAATCACTTTGTCAGTAGGTCTATATTAAACGCTCATTTTCATTCCACAGGCTTACAAACGTGGAATGCACAAAAATAAGTACGTATGGCTTCTAGTTGGCTGGTATAGTAACGAGTGGTGGCGTACTACAGATGGAACGTCATGCAGTCGTAAGGAATTAATGCGGGCCACGGATCGTGTCTTTTTTATAGATAGTTTGAATTTAGCAATTGAAGATACACCAACAGTTTCAGGATTGGTAAGTCATGTAACGTCGGCCTGGTTTAGTGTAAATACATAATAACTAGGCCTATAACAAAATGATGATTATGATGATGATGAGGGGTAGCTGGTTTATATAGCAATGTACTTTGCTTAAGAACTTCTGTCCAGCATTTCAATTTTGGGGTTTTTTTTCACATATTGTATTTTATTGTCACTGCGATTGTTTGTTGGTCGAATAAATAAATAAAATAAAATCATATGAATGATGGTGATGGAGAAGAAGATGGTGATAATAATGAAGATGATGATGATGATGATGATGATACTGATGACTTGATCATGAAGGTGATAATGACAATGATGAGAATGAATTATGGTGATGATGACAATGACGATGTTGAAGAATGATGATAATGATGAAGATGATTGATGAGATAATGATAATGAAGATGATGACGACAATGACCATAAAATATGGATGATGATGATGGTGTGATGATGATAATGACGATGATGACGACAACCATGACCATAGAATATAGATAACGATGTTGATGACGATGATGATACCGTAATGATAATGGTGAATATGCACAATTTTTTTAGTACTATCACAATGACCTCTAACTTCACATTTTAACTTTAGAAACCATCGGAATTCGAATCATCGTTTGCCAAACGATCAACTGAGCCCAGCAGTCCTTACGCTCCACAGACGTTCGATGCAGTGTGGACCATCTACCTCGCACTCCGCGATACGATCGCGGTCATTGGCCGAAATTCATCGATGAGTCAAGATGAGGCTGTTGAGCTGCTCTCTAATCTCGACTACAATGATAATGATCGCGTACGCGAGATACTGATGCAAGAAATGGCAAAACAGAGTTTTAATGGAGTGTCGGTAATTATTGAATTATTTTGAATAACATGAACTTGTTATGATTTCGAATCTATAACGTGTATTCTATAATAGATAAGGTGGAACAACCTCATGTCTAAGCAAGATGACGCGTACGACCTACTTATAAAACATTAGCAAAATAGTATAGGGCCTATAAGTCATTAAGGGAAACTTTGGAAATTTATATACAAACAACTCACACTTAGGGGATGTAAAAAACAATCTATGATCGTACTTTTTCTCTAACAGTTTGAATGTACAGTAATGAGAGATATTTTGCACCATCATTGTAAGGTGTGCACCAGCCGTTTTTGAAATAAATATTACACTTACACCATCATGAACATCATCATCATGCTCATCAACTATCACCATCTTTGTCATTATTATTTTTATATCGTTATTATTATTATCATTACGATACAAAAAAACGTTAATAATAGTATTAATAACAATAATAATCAAACATTCATAATAGGAGGTTGAGCAAGCTTACGAAAACATAACGAATACTGTTACGTCATCAATTATATTAAGCTCCATCCACACTATCAATTTTTATGTGACAAATACATATGATTTGCCCATATATAGTCATGATGTGTCTATATATGGTCATGATATGCCCATATATAGTCATGATGTGTCTATATATAGTCATGATGCGTCTATATATGGTCATGATGTACCCATATATAGTCATGATGTGCCTATATATAGTCATGATGTGTCTATATATGGTCATGATGTGCCTATATATGGTCATGATGTGTCTATATATGGTCATGATGTGCCTATATATGGTCATGATGTGTCTATATATAGTCATGATGTGTCTATATATGGTCATGATGTGCCTATATATGGTCATGATGTGCCCATATATAGTCATGATGTGCCTATATATATTCATGATGTGTTTATATATGGTCATGATGTGCCCATATATAGTCATGATGTGCCTTCATATAGTCATGATGTGTTTATATATGGTCATGATGTGCCCATATATAGTCATGATGTGCCTATATATGGTCATGATGTGATGTCAGCATGACCATAATTAGGCATGTCACATATTTTTGTCAAACAAATGTTGATAGTCTTGACAGGGCATTAGCCATACCATCCTCTAACATATCTTTCAAAACGTAGACGATTCGTATCTTTTGCATACATCAAGGATCATCTTTAGCTCGTATATGTATTGTTAAGAACGTTTTAGGCAAGCATGACAATAATGAAAATGACGTATTCGCATTCGTTATCGTTGTCAAAAGGTTGCGAAATCTCTATAGTATTACAATCTACCTAGAAATCTATGATTAATCGATGATTACGTAATAGGCCTATGTTGTGTTTTTTAATATAATAGGGAACAGTTTCATTTGAGGGACCAGATCGCCTGGGAGCCACAAGAATACGCCAAAAGCAAGGTAAAAACACCAGTCACGAGGTTATTCACATGACATTGTAAAGTGCTACGTTATTGAATTGTGAATATAATAGTAAGTAATAATAGTAAACAAAGGCGGCAAAATAAACCGATACAGGTAGCTGTTGATGGCAACACATTTTAAAGTTATTAATAATGTGTATGTTTTGTATTGTCATGGGTGTGATTACTAAAGTCGTAAAGTCGCGGGACAATTGGCTGAAACGTCGGCGGGCTCATCCAGATATAACTGAGATTACGTGCTGCGTCATCTTCGAGTCACGTGATGATAAAATGGCCAAAGGTGGAGGTATACCGTCTTTAATTCTAGTTCAGATGAATTAACTTTCCAAACTCAACATGCGCAGATTTAAAAATGAATTAGTTTTTGCTGAATCGCGTCAGCGGGAACCAGTCAACTCACCTCTAGCAAACTCGACCCTTGCACTCTCGCCACTCTCCCCTAACCAAGTCTTCCCCTGACTATAAACAGTTGGTTCTATAAATTCGCTCGCTAACAAATGACCTCCTAGTTCTTTAGATTAAAGTCAGTGCCACATGGAAGCATTGATATTAATGATAAATATTTTTTTATATTGTTTCTGTTGGTATTATACAATACGGTAATGAATATAAATTTATTTCCATGACACAAGATGGAATAAATTTATGACGTTATATTTTCATGCATAGTCGACACAAACTCGGCTAAGATGGAGTGGGGTTGAATAGTTTGGTGGTTATGTGAGTGTCCTCCAATCCTAGGGTCATGGGTCCAAATCCTACACGTCAAAAAGCTAGTCTGTTTTTCTACAGGCACGTCTGGCTTACACTGAGATGTACAGTAAGCCTATAGATAGACAGTATGAAACACAATTCCATCCTATATAATTTGCTAGTCTAATTGCTTTTAGATAAACCTGTTTTTGTATTATCCATTTATTACGTCATAAAATCCATTTTAATCACTAGATGTTTTCATATTCAGAATTTATAGATATTATGGACTTTTCTGTAATGTCAATGAAACTTAACAACTGACCAATCAGAAGTGGGTCAGGAGTTGCACTTGTTCTACGCGACACGCCCGTTTGCGTGTTAACGCTGTCGTGTTTTTGGGACCTTAAAATTATTCAAGGGGTGGGCTTAGCGGATAGGCCCATTATGACAGGTTCATCCCACGAATAATTGACACTTAACGTACAATATACAGGCCTAAGATGAGTGCAGACGAAATCATCACATTACCATTTTTTCCAGGCGATAACCTAGAGATGGTGGCGCTATTCTTCCCTGAAGACGGTGGTTATCTGGACCTGACGTATCGAGGGTGTTCTCCAATAGAATGGCCAGGTAAGAAATTAAGAGAACAATACTGAAACCATCCCAACGAATAAATTTATTTGAGCATGAGAGAAAACACACAATGAACAAAGAGGGTTAAGTCAAACGTCAAACCTACTTATTCGTATAGAATTTCTACTTTAAACCAAAGCCTACATAATGCCTTTTTTGTAATAAAAACAAAAACACAAATATATAAAAATAGCTTTTTACATGGAATTATTCACACACTTCAAAATATGAATGTAATTCAATATAATTCAATATAATTGAATTATATTGAATGTAATTCAGTATAATTCAATTACGTATTAGAGAAACTATTTTAATAGTTTAAAAACTTGTTTAACAATTTACTTTTTTGTTTATGTTACGGTATATAATATATATTTATGTGTTCGTTTGTGTACCTAATGTATTTGCCAACAATTTGTTAGATGACGTTCAGTAGTATAGCATTTATATGTGGTTTTCATCATACAATGTTACAATATGCGGCATGTGGAGCATTATTATTATATTATAATTGGTTTTGATATCATATTGTTTGATGTAGTAAATGACTATATAACCATATTGTATCTACCACTGAAGGCCGAGTTCCTGTAGACGAGCTGACGCACGTGGAGAAGCCGTTACACGTGTCTTCAAGTGCCTTGATTGTAGTCGGTGTCATAAATGGATTTGGTATAAGCGTCGCTTTATCCTTCCTCGGATTCAATATTCGCTTCCGAAACGATAAGTATGTTCAATACTTAAAGGATCTCCTTTAATGAATGACATCATCAATCAATTCTAACCTCCAAGTACACTACTAAAATGTAAATATCCTGTGCTCCCCATTCGCGATTGGTTGAGAACTAGTGCGTAGCACATTTAGATTTACACGCGCCCATTGACTGTACGCGCTATGAAATCAGCTCGTTACAATTACGTCATTTTGTGTGAGTCATATATTTGTTCTATCTATGATCAATGCAATATGATTAGATTAAATGCAGAATTTATTAAAATATTATGAAGGCTTTACAATTGAATTGAAAACAAAGTATTTACTGACAATACGTTTCGCAAAAATAAAATCGCTATAAAATGTTTAAGTTAATCCACATGAATCATTTGTGATGAAAATAGTAATTTACAATTAGTATTAGGCATATTTGTCACTTACTTATTGTCAATTACTTATAGTATAGATGACAAATTCTTTTTTTGTTAAAGCTAGAAAAAAAAACAGAGTACTTACTCAGGACGTTTCGATCTCTTAATTAGTACTCCGTTTCTTATTTGCCTTTAGAAAAAAAAATCATCTATACAATAACGAAACTAAATGATTTTTCTTTTAATTACTTATACTGTTAATATTTCTATATACATTTTATAGCCTAATTACAATTGTTATATTTTTTTAATCTTCATTCAGCAATCAAAAGCCATATAGAATTCAAAAATACAAAAATGAACATTACAAATGCAAGAAAAAAAAATAGTGCATCATAAAAATTCTAAGATACTCTATACACTAAACCCTGAGAATTGTTATCCATTTTGAGTGAAGCACTGATTATCTAAGTCAGACTGATAAACGGTTTTAACTAAATTGTTTGTACTCTTTTCCAATCTACACAAAAAATTGTAGCATGTTTTTCTGTAATATTCATAGAAAGATGGTACATTATTCAAGACAAATATTTTTGACTGAAACTACAGTGCCTAGGCAGACCAAGGAGTTTTCTTAATGCATTGTTATAACATACTTGAAACTCTCTATTAACCTTTTTATCTACTCTTTAACATAAAGCTAATATGTCTAATTGTTCTTTCGATATTTTTGATTTTTTTTTTTTTTTGCCTAGATCAATTAAAATGTCAAGTCCAAATTTAAACAACTGTATTGTCGTTGGTTGTATACTGGTGTACCTATCTGTATTGCTTCAAGGATTACACACGGAAATAATTCCCGTTTCATCGTTTGCCCCGTTATGTACAGTAAGTCAACGTACTTAACCCTAAGATGGTTTGATAGTGTTTGATAAGTGATTAGTTGTGAGTGATTAATTGATAAACACTCAGACTACGTATGATGCTTCCTTAATTATTAACAGCGAGTGAATGTACCGGTATCCATTGATGTATCTATAACATCGTAGTCATTACCTTGATTGTAATTAATGTTACATTTACTTCCTCTGTAAATATATAATGTACGCGCGCTGCGTTTAAGTATGCGCAGTAGATACGCCATACTAGATCTGGAATTACAGTATCTTTATAATACGTAGCGACACCGCAATGCATTAGACGCTGGGTTTGAATATAGGCCTACATACAAAATGATTTCTTCGATTAAGCTGCGGGTTTATACAGACTGTTTAAGTCTCTGGCTTAAATATTTTTGGCGCTTGTGTATACAGGTGCGAACAGTCAATTTATACAGGTGCGTGTTTATAGTATAGCCATTCCCTTAATTGTAACTCAACAAAATAATCTAACACTGTCCAGGGAGAAAACGACGCATCCTAACAACATATATCATCACTATGTATAACGCTAGGGGCCGGTCTCAAGAGATCATACAGTTTTTTCATGTTGCTAGGTGCGAAACGTTTCATAACAACGTACGGTAGCAACTCTATTTAGGTCATCCATTATTTTCCTCTTTTTTTTTTCTTCCTTTTCATCTTTTTACGTCACCCTTCTACCAAACTGGGCCTAATTTATAAACAATATTCAGTCATTTCTCTCATCTCAATGTTGGTTAATCCATTTGTCCAGAAAGTCATCATAATAACAATATATTGAATTGAATAACTAATTGATTGATTAATTGATAATAATGGTGATGAAGAGGATGATAGGATGTTGATAATGATTATTATTACAATGACGACGACAAAGATGTCGATGATGATGATGGGGATGATGATGATAATGATGGGGATGATGATGATGATAGTGGTGATGATGAGGATGATGACAATGATGATGATGATGATGATGATGATGATGACGAAGACGACGACGACGGTCATCCTATTGATGACGATGATGATGATGATGATGACGATGATGATGATGACGATGATGATGATGATGATGACGATGATGATGATGATGATGATGATTATGATGATGATGATGATTGCATATTGCACCCTGAGATAATACCAGTTAACTTTGGCTACGTTAAAGCAGAATCTGCTTTTGAGGTCTCTGTTGGCTTTTAAAAACACATAAATTTACATTTGTATCGAAAATGCTAACAACCTAACTAGATAATCTATGAGTCCTTTTCCTGTAGTACATTGACATACTGTAACGATAAAATTAAATAATTCCATTCGCATTTGTTCAGATGTAATTAATGACACTTCATACGATCAATCGATCGTGCTCCTATACCGTAATTACACAAGTTTGCCTACATTTATCGCCTGTTCGTAATTATTAAATGTTTAATAGCACATGGATTATTCGAAAACATATTGTCACCATAACAATGCATTATTATTCTCTATGATTATACCAATATCGTAAAGTGCGTTAATGCTCCGGGGTATAATCGGGCAGTGCGTGTAGTGCCACGTTCTCTATTTTTCTAAATTTTTATCGAGACTGAAGTTTTGACGACGCCATCTGCGTAGCCACCACATTCAACGAATTGTGTCGTAATCAATATTGAACATTTTAGATATGAAAGAAACTCAATTAGGCCAATAAATAACCTTTAAAGTTGAATTCTATTAGTAAAACGAGACTATAAATAGATATTGAAAAAAAAATAAATAGGACTATGTCAAATCATTTGTTATCTCTGCTCTAACAATTCCGCACCGTAAATGTAATAGGCTCTAAGTATTTTCTTACTCTACTGAATAAACGAATAAACGACCCGGGGCGTTTATTGATGAGAAGGGTTTTTGAGGGGGAGTTTATTCGATGGAGGTGTTTATTCGAAGAAAGCGTTTATTTATTTGGGTGAAAAATTAATACGTATAGGCCTATATACTCAAATAAACGCCCCTTAATTTCACTGTAAATGTGGAACTACAACATATAATTACCGTCAAAATGTGTTATTGCGCGATTATAAAGGCTTATTCTTCCCAACCAGGTTGGAAAAAATGTTATTCTTTTGGAGTATTGCATTAATAGAATGTGTTGAGAATTATCTTGTTTCCATTACACTGTAAAAACATCGAGGAGCATCTAAACACAAAGCTCCACGCAATGTTGTCCCGTTTTTGGCGACACGTTTAAAAACTAAACGTGTTTAGGCCAGGCCTAATGTGCTTAGGATCTTGACATGTTTAGAATTAAATGTGCTTAGGTATTTGACATCATGATGTCACATACCTATAGCTTTTAAACGTGTCACCAAAACGGGACAACATTGCGTGGAGCTTTGTGTATAAATCCTCCACGCTGTTTTTACAATGTAGATTAGTTTACAGTCACTGGGAAAGGCATTTATTATGTAGTTATTGCATGTTTTCATTTTTTTCTAAATATTTAATGTTCGAAATGTAGGATATGTGTTTTTTTTTTCGGTGATTTGACAAAAAAAAATGTAATTACATGTTTAATTGTACATTTTAAGTCTATTCAGCCGGGTACTGTAAAGTGTGAAGTAACATGATATACAACAGAATGTTTAATAACACCCGTTGTCTACTGTATCACCATTTTACAGGCACGTGCCATGCTGTTGTCTTGCGGGTTCTCGTTGGCTTTCGGTTCGATGTTTGTGAAAACATATCGAGTATACCACATAGTCACCCACGCTACAAGTCGGGGATTTGGTAAACGAATCGTAAGTGTTTTTGATCAAATAGTAGGCCTAATGAATTATTAATACTACTAATTATTTATTCGAGTGATGAATAAACATAACACACATTTGACATTGTAGCCTAGACCTATAATAAGCATATCTAATTAATTTCATACACTTTGTATATAAACAAGAAGCGTCCCTTTCAAGGTTCACGTCTGTCGTATTTTGATGGCTCACAATAATTATTATAATTAAATGGATGAGCTCTACATCTTGATGGTTTGGATGTTAATCCAGATCTACGAAGAATCGGTGACGTATCTTGGGGTGCGGAGTGCACCCCTCCTCCCTAAAAGAAGCTCGATCCCCTATTCTCCCCCTCCCAAATAATCATACAATAGTAGGCCTATAGTTAAAAATCACTTTTCACCTTATTTTGTGAGCTAAATCACCAATCCCCTTCACTCCACCCCATCAGAACCCCCACCCCCATTTCAAGACTCCTAGATACGACACTGCAATAAATCTATAACAACTTTCAACATAAATGATATCGAAAGCAAGAGGCGTTTGTGTCAAACCTGTCTAAATTGAGCTCATTGGCCAATCTTTGTACAGGAAAAAGTGTTGTTTACGTAGAGCGTATGTACCCTACGGTAATATGGGTGTAAGAGAACTTCTTTACTAAATACACTATCAAGGTCGTGTCAAATTTTTTGTGATTTGCCCATTGGTGATGTCATCAAAACAACCATATTTGGGTAAATCAAATATATTTGTTACAAAATTTAAAAGTGTGGACAATAGAGTTTGAAAGTGCTTATTGGCAGCAGACATACCTGCCTATAGGCCAAAATCGTTCTAAATAAAATAATCCCTTTACAGTAGATCGATCAAAATGATATACTCTGAGGGTGAAATAATATTCATGAAATTAGGCATAAAACTATAAATGAATTGAGCGTTTCTATTCCTGGGCAAATTGCAAAGATACTGGCACTGCCCAAACAGTGCTTCTTGCTAGCTAGGCCTAGCCCGGATCTAATTAGGCAGAACTCATAAAATGTAATGTGTTTGTACATTTGAGGCGTGCGAATTAGCATATTTAAACTCAGTAGTTATTGTTCTTAATAATTAAAAGTAGACTGTGTGCACAACAATCCAACCTCAGCCCAAAACGCTGATAGGAGGCCTAGGCCGGCTATTTCATGCTACCATCGCAATTGTACGCCGACCGTCACGGGCCTAGCTCGGCTAGGCAAACCGGTCATCATTGTGTCAAAACCATTTTTTTACTCTAATTGTATATAAGAATTAAATCAAATGTATTCTTATCAATTTAAAAATCATTTTTAGTGTGTCCAATGTTGTAAAATCTATCTTACCCACTGCTTTAGGCAAGTTTATGTAGTCCAAATGCTAGGTGACCTCGCGTTATTGGTGTTGTACTCTTTCCGAAATTTTGATGACGTCATAACCTCAATTACGTAACGTAAGTGTACGCGCGAATATGACGTAACTCGTGAAGATATAATTTTTTGTTGACAGACGGTTGCTGCAAGAGCATTCAGAGTGTCATCATCAAAGGAATTCATCAAAGTGTCACTCGCGCATAATCATTAACTTTTTTTTTGAATGATTACACAATGAGATATCAAAGGACCGACATAGCCATGCGTATGCGAGGTAGTAATACCAGACACGCAACATAAAGTAGGCAATGACAGACAGCATAAACAATGTGTGTTGTGATAGGCATAATTATGTGTTTTGACACCATGACGGATCTCTACAACCATATTATGCGTAATATAACTTGATGATATAGGTTAAAATGGATGACCATCTCAGTTAAATGGGCAGCCATGGCCAAGTATTATTACTAGAACTAGGTCTTTTCTTTAGGAATAAGATACAATTTTAAGTACCTCTAATGTGTCATAATACGCTATTTCATGTTCCTATTACGAATGAAGTGTTTCTCAAACATTAAATACACCATTTTTTTTTATGTAAATTAATTCTATAACGACAAACAGAATGTCGTACCTCATCATAAATCGAAGATAATTATTTGTCTTTTGTTTTTTTTTATTTTGGAAATTTTTCTTACAGATGCTACGGGAGTCCATATTGTTTGCAATGGTCGGAGGTTTACTAGCATTAGATCTGCTTGTGTTTATTATGTGGGGAATATTCGATCCAATGTACCGCCACGTGACTAGAACGCCATCCCAGGTATAGTACTCCTATATAAAGTATTACACCTCAACGTCATCAAGGCCTAGTTCACACTTCGGACGTATACGCAAGGCGCGAGTCTCGAGAGTGTGAACGAGCCTATAAACGTGCTGTATTTGAAATCTGAATGTGCGCAACAGCATCGATGTCGTCAGTATAGGATTTGGTCTACTGAATAAGTTGAACTTTGCATAATTCTTGTTTTAATTATGTATTGTTTTGATTATTGTTATAACTATTTTTATTGTTAATATACCAATTGTTACTGCCAGTGTCATTCCTGTTGCTACTATTATTATTGTTATTCAAAATGTCAATAAAAATTATCTGGCCATATTCTTGATGCCTTTACAAGAAAATGGAATCTATTTGAAACGTTTTCAGGCAAGAACGGTCATCTCACATTAGTATTTTCCATGAAGACCTATATTTTAAGTGAGTCAGTCATACTAAAACAACACTTTGTAATTAAGCGATTCTCTCGCCAACAAACCCATTAATTTGATTGGATGAATTATATATAAAACTTATCTCAAGCTTGAAATAAGATGCGAGGTAAACAATGACTGTTTGCGTTTGTTAAAGCAAAATATTTTCATCAAAAATGATTTATTAATTGTGTCTATTCATATAAATCCTATGTACTTCAATTTACGCCAATCAATAATGAATCAGTCATGGAAAGTACAAATGATAGTGTTTACTGGTGCATTTGACTGTCTAAATATTGGGAAGCTCAGACCAATCTATGTGGACAGGAAGCCAATTAGGCCACGTCAATGCAAGTATAGCATAAAGCAAACCTTTATTCCACGAGTTTGGAAAAAAAACACTCACTAATAGTGATGTACACTTTAAATTTACAATATATATAATATAAAAGTTAGAATAAATATGAGTTATTAGTGTTTAATTAAAAATATTAATAAAAGATAAAAATTCATGGTCAATTACCGTAACAGTTGTAGGCCTATAAACACAGGGCCGCTGAACGTTTTTCAATGAAGGTGGGGTGGGGGGTGTGACTCTTTTTTTTTTTTTGTATTTCTTTCTCCGATCATACAAAAATCTGCATAGACATTACCGGTATACATTTTCTGCCAAAAGGTGGGGAAAGGGCGGGCCCCCGGCCCTCCGGTTCCACCGGCAATGAAAAAGTGTGTTTATAGCATTAAATTTGCTTAGGTATATGACATTTCAAATACCCGGGCACGCTAAACATGTCAAAATCATAAGCACTAGGCTATGTCCGCGTTTACCTTTTAAACGTGTCCACAAAAGCTTCGCCTTTTTTGTAAGAGTTATGATTGGTACTTGTTATATTTTTTCTATTTTAGGTGTCGGAGGATGAAACAATTGCATATACCTTTTGCGTCGAAAGTTGTTCGTCTAAGCATTCGCAAATATGGCTGGGAATAGTATACACTTACAAAGGCTTACTGCTGTTATTTGGAGTATTCTTAGCATGGGAGACCAGGAAAGTGAAAATACCAGCGTTGAATGATTCTAACTACATCGCATTATCTGTATATAATGTAGTGATGCTTAGCGTGATTGCAGTGGCCGTATCCAGTCTTGTGAAGCAGCCGCAGCTGGTCACCATAACGTTCACTTTGGTGACAGGTTGCCTTTTAACAACGGCAACGGCTACCCTAGCTCTTCTTTTTATACCAAAGGTAATCTGGTACACATTTCTTAAGGCCTAGCCATACCATTATATTTCGTGGGGAAAAAAACGAAAAAAAACATGGATTTGCCCACGAGTATAATGACATCATCATTCCCATTGGGACGTGATATATCATTATGATTATGGGCAATTCAAATTTGTCACATAGTGTGGATATGAGTCAAAGATACTAGAAATACTAATATTTCTAGTATCTTTGATAGAGTCCACACCTTCAAATTTTATTTGACAACACCATGCGCGACATTCCTAAATATGGTCATCATGACATCACACCATGACCATATATAGACATATCGTGACTATATATGGGCATAAATTTTTTTGTCAAAGACTGCACAGAGCTTCTGGGCAAGGCTTCAGGCATTCACATGTGTTCTAGCATAATTTTAGTAAACCTGCATCTTACTACCCCTGTTGGTAATGTAAATATCCTAACTTTTTCATCTTATGATTGGCTGCTTGACTTAGCGAGTACTACTCGCTAAGTATAGCCGCATACGCTTTGCAATTTGATGAAAGAAAACGGGGCGACAATTTTAACTTTTTTGAATTTTCACTTTTACATTTAAATTGATAAAAAAAAATAGAATGATATGCATAATATTAGTTTACTTTTATTTAAAATTATAAAATTCTGAATAGTCTCGATGTCAAGAATACTTATAGGACTCTGCCGTCATATGAATCCATTGTTAACAATAAGATCAAGACAAAATTACACTAAAATGTGGAATGCTAAACTTTTATTACACTATATTAGCCAAAAGTATAGAACTGTAAGAGGTCCGACTCTTGTGGTTTCGTTCAAACGTAATCCTATTTCAAAAAGTACTGCCACGCCGAAAGGGCGTGTCCTTCAAAAAACGAGATTCGAGCGAACTCTATTCGAATTCTACTAGGGCGCCCCTTATCTGGTGATAGTACTTTTTTAACGTTTCTTTCTCATACAAAATAATAATAATAATAATAATAATAATTGTCGACTTATATAGCGTATATAGCGAGACCTCTATGCACTTACATTATTACCCCCGAATCACTGGATCAAGCACATGAGGGTAGTCGGACCATGGAGGTACTTCTTGCAATTCTATACTCTTGACTATTACTAATTTGATATTATATGCAAACCTGACCCGTTCTCTTTTTGTTTGTAGGTGATAGCAGTACGTTCAAATCATTTAGGCGACCCAATCAGTACTTCTGTAGGTCTAGAAACTAGAGGACAAACTCGACGGCTAATAGCTGATGAATCTACTGAGTTAAAAGAAAATATATACAGATGGGAAGTTCAGAACAGAGCGTATAGGAAGGAATGTGAAAAGGTAGGATATATGTTAAGCCATGGTTTCCATAAAAATCTCTATACGCTATCGCTGATTCTTTTGGCGACGCTGATTGGTCAGTTGAATCAGGAAGAGTTCCCAATTACGTCGGGGACAACTACGCAGCGCAAGGATTGCAGTAAAAACGCTGCAATGACTGTGTAAGATTGTAAGGAAACCAAGCTTAAAAAGAGATTAATATATTTACATTAAACTGGATTTTACATAAACTGAGGGAGTACGTATGCGCAATTTTGTTTGACATAAATCTATCATTCCATCTTTTTTACGGTGACGTATATTAATTTATAATTTCATTTTCTCCGGCCTTTCGTTTTATTTCCCAAAACTTTTCTTTCCTTTTAGTTTATTGCTTTACGTCATCGAGACTAGAAGCAGAGCTAGAACAAGAAGCTTTAAATACAAAACATAAATAGTTCAAATATTTATCCTTATTAAAGTATTTTATAAATGCTCGCTTTAATTAGTTTTAAATACGTCATAACACCAATAAACTGGGTTAATGTCACGTGTTTATGGTAATGGTACGGTATATTATAGGAATTGAAGACTTTAAATAGTAATTACCGTCATGAATGTATGTGGAATGTGAAATCAAATTGTCAACCTGCTATATAAATTAATGTCTTTTTATTGTAATAAGAGAATATCTACTAATGCTAAGTATTGACATTAACGATCTTGGAATATGAGCGTCATATATCAATCTAATACCTTATATTTAAAGCCGGGCACTTACTGCGTTGTACGACCAACTCCGCTCCCTGTGAGCCGCAAATAAAACGACGCCATCTGCTGATTGTCGGTGGCTGTCTGAACCGGTCTGAACAGATCGTCATTGAAAACGATCCGTTGCGTGCGCGTCGTCACTATGCGTTCTTTGTAGAATCGCGTCGGCCGACAACCGTTGGGCGCAGTTAGTGCCCGGCTTAACTCTCACGTTCTAAGGTTCCGATCCAAAAATCAACATTTTGCAATTCAATCGGTTGTCTTTGCTAAATATTCTTTCTTTATTTTCCAGCTGGAGCAGAAAATTGCTGAATTAGAAGCCAAATTACACAGTTTACAGTGCGAGGAAAGGATGAATTTAACAGAAAATCGTTTAAGTACAATTTTATCGGAAGCAAGTGACGCGTCTGAACTTCTCCTCGATCTACCTGAAACGACCATAGATAATTTTAATGGTAGCCCCAGACCAGAGTCACGTGAGACGTGTACGTTACTAGAAAGAGGTGATTCTGGTCGCCATTCTATGGATTCGAGACAAACACCAAAGGAAAATATGTATTCAGTTTTTTGTGTGCAAGACAAGGAACAACCCTCTACTGAGTTTTGTGTTAATAACACACGTGTTGAAGTTATCTATGTAACTGATGACGCGGACAAAGAGGGTTGTGTTTATTGTAATTTACACAAACAAGATTCTAGAACATATTGTGAATGTAAAACTGATGATACAAATTTACTGTTTTCATTAAATCGAAATCCAGCTTCTTATTCAAAGTTTGAGAACTCGTCATCACCAATATTAATTGATAAACAATGTCATGACAACGCCCATACACAAGGTGCTGATGTTACTGATGATAATTCAGATTTCTTGCTTCTTGACGATAACTCTGAAATGGAGAAGGAATTACACAATGAACGGCACGTTTTAGAATGTAAACTAATCGATCTAGAAGGCACTATACTTTCTTCCTGATGTTAATTATCAAATGATGGTATTATTTGAAGGTCAATGGTGGGAAACTACATTTGCTGTTTCATTGGAAATAATTCATCTTGTAGTTTGTGCATGTCTAATGTCAAAGGTCAATGCATATAAGCAATCATAGGGATGTCATAGTGTTCCTTTATTTTAAGTATTTGAAGATTATTGAGGTATTCGGCTACCTTATTCGTAAACACCAACAAAAATTATATAACACAAAAATTCGTCTGTTTATATACTTTGATATTCGACATCTTGTAAATTCCAAATACGAGACGGCATGTTTAAAGAACTGCTGTAATAGGTTATTTTATTTAAACAAATTATGTTCTGTCGATTTTACTTACCTATTTAGGGATCTGAACTAACTACCGATACGCTGCAATTGCCTCCAAAGCCCTTTGCCAACGTCAAATCTTAGATTTGCTGTATTTATCATTAAAATAAAGTTAAAAACCAGGATGGATGAACTGAATCGCATGGAAGTACAAATGATAATAATATAATATAATAATATAAACATTTATATAGCGCTCACATGTGTTTCTAACATAATACGCAGGGTCTCACAGCACTTATAGTACGACCAGTCGATTTTAACGAGGCTTATTATTGCGGGACTTCAACATTAATATAAAAAAAGTAGTATGATAAAAAACATAAAGCGGGATAAAAGTAATGAAGAAATAAATTAATACGTCGTATAATAACACTTAAGCTCTGTTCAACTTTTATTTGAGAAAAACATGTGGCATGCCGTGGACATCATGACATCACATCCTGTATATGGGCACATCATGACTATATATGGGCACATCATGACTATATATCGGCACATCATGACCATATATAGGCACATCGTGACTATATGGGCAAACAACTGTTTGTTGTCAAAGAAAATCTCATAGTCTGGACAGGGACTTACGCCTACATCAATGTCAGCGGTTGTGTCCACACACAAGCATTCGTCAACAGGCTTAGCATTGCCGTGTATACTTATTTCTATATATTGCCGACATCATCATAGGTTGATTTTATTAAGCTAGCCCTAAATTTTAGTCGCACAAGAGCAATTAAGACGGGTTGGCGCAAATGCAAGTAACGCTACAACGCCTAATAAAACAAAGTATAATGATTTGCTTAATGGACCTTTCCTTTAAGCCCCGCCCCTTGGAAATTGTTGCTAAGGTCCCACAAGACGACATGTGTTAAAACATACGCAAACACGTGCGTTTGTGGGACAACACGTGTGTTTGTGAGACGCGCGCGTATTCCTAGCACTTTTCTGATTAGTCAGTTGTTAAGTTTGATTGACACTCCGGAAAGGTCTATTGAATAAAATATCCAAGAAAGAGTTTACAAGAAAGTGATATGCAAAGAAAATAGGTAAGCTTCGTTTTAATGTGTAACATTTTATTTTGTAGATGAGGTAAAGAAAACCGAACATAACCGCCTTAATATAGGAACGCAGTACAGTACTAATCATATTACATTTACATTTTTGTATATATCATTACATGGTTGTTCTTATCATTTTCATTCACGGGTTCCACGTGAGACAAGTAGTGGACCTAAAATAACTTATGACTTTTAAATTCGAAATATTATAATTGGTAAGGTTTCAACGTCATTATTCACGGTCACATGTCCATATTTTACGGTCACGTGGCTATTATCTGTAACTGGCATATAAGTATAATTGATATAATTTTTCGTGTTTGTTTGTTGATCAAAGACAAAATTAATCGTAGTACAAATCATTTTATAATTGATAATTAATTATAATAAAAGGTTGCTTCACTACAGTGCGTCAAAATATAATGCAAATTGCAAATAGTAGTGTTTATAATAAATTATACAGTATAATACCGAATATTATTTGGTTTAATGTACAAGATAAAAAAAAAAAAAAACTATGTTTAAGACAACATATTCTAAAAGTTTACCCATCAACCATTGTCAAACCTGTCTCTATGAAACATATAAAAATGAGGGAAGCAAAATTATTCTATTGATTTAACACTTTTTGCCAATTATGCGCGCGTGAGCTGGTACTCATGTCGCTAAACTCGATGTGCAATCAAAATCTACTTTGATAGTAGTATGAAGCCCTGTCCAGAATATCACATTTTCTTAGACAAAAAAAACTGTTGTATGCCCATATATAGTCATGATGTCCCTATATATGGGCATGAATGGGCATGATGTGATATCATCATGACCATATTTAGTCATGTCACATGTTTTTGTCAAATAATATTCGATAGGCAATGAACAGGGCTTTAGATATTAATGATTGGTAAGACTACCAGACTACCATTTTTTTAACGAAAAACATGCGACATCTAATGATCATGATGACATCACATTATGACCATATTTAGACACATTATGACTATATATGGGCACAACATGACTATATATGGGCATACAACAGCTTTTTGTCAAAGAAAATTTGATAGTGTGGACAGAACTTCAGTTTACATAGATAACTATTTCTATTTATAGATATTTATTTCAAGAAGTTAAAAAATGTTTAAGGCTGACAGTCGAATTATTAGTGGTTTTATCATTAGCTGGCGTAATTATTATTTTTGACCGTGCATTCAACATTCTATGCATGTGAAAATATAAACATCATCAGTTCTCAGGTCTTTTTATTTGGATATGTTACAACGCATCCTCTACACGCGCTTAGCAATCGTTGGAACGCTTGCGCTTGAAGACGTCAGCTCGTGATAAAGCTACTTAAAGCTGGTTTTCCACACTTAGGCTTATTTATCCGCGCGAATCGAAAGCGTCGGTTAATGCGCATGCGCATTCACATTCCTATCGGAGTTTTTGCGAAGCGAAAAAATGCGCAACTAATCAGAGCACAGAAAGCAACCCGACGCTTTGATTCGCGTCCACTTGGCGAATTAATTCGCGCGAATCGAAAGCGTCGGTTCCCTTCCTGTGCTGATTATTGGTTGCGCGTTTTTTACGCATAGAAAAAGTTCGAACTACTGGTTTCGCTGAAGCGAAAAACTCCGTTAGAGATATGAATGCGCATGCGCATAAACCGACTCTCTCGATTCGCGCGAATAAAATCGCCTAGTGGAAAACAGAATTTAGAAACTTCAGCGATTAACTGAAATATTTCCGAGCAAGACAGTGTTACAAATAAAAACAAATCCGATGAATTTATCGAACTTGAGTCTTGATGTTAATTTTATTCATCCCTCTCCTCTCAAACAATTTCTCAGTACAAAAATACGATTATATAACGGTCACATAGTCAACTCGCAAACACTGAATGTATAACATAATACAGTATACTCTAATGTAATTATAGCAAATATATGTGTACATGTATATATGTATGTATATGTATATTACGAGCTACAGTTTGCTGTCAATAGACCTATTACCTTACTCTATATATAAGTACAATGTCACCATAATCTACAAAAAAAAACTGATTTTCAATAACATCATATAAATATCAGCATAAAGTGAAGTACTTATCATAAGCCTACATTAACGCACCGTTAGCACACGATATACAGCACTAATTGTTACTTCGTATACTTTAGTTGTTAGCTAAGTTTTCAGAGCTGAGTGCTTGGCTGAGACGTAACGTTCCTGTTGTAGACCCCCGTTTAATTTGAATTAGATCGCTCTGCTCCTCGGGTAAACCTCGCACGAGAGATCGGTGGGAAAAGGACAGTGTATCAGATAATACGTTGGTGGCGCTGTACTGTACAGTGGCTGCTGCGGGTCCCCATTGGCCCAGCGAAAATTGCCAAATTTAAATAGTTCAAAAAAGCAAAAGGAAAATTGAATTTTAATTATTAATATTTTTACTGACAAATTTATAGAAAATAGTCCTTCAGCAAATGACAGACGCCTAATAAGTTTGTGTTGAATTTACTGTAAAATGAAGAAATAATTTCATACGATAAGTGTGCAGATTTTATTTTAACGTGAATACAAGTATTAAACACATCGTACCAACATTTAAAAGTATCGCCAACAGACTAGCATTTGAGACATATCCATCGAATTTAACGTTAAATATACTGTAACTGCACACTGCGTTTGCCGCTGACGGATTGTAAGCGCTTGCCCGACACTCGACGTTTTCATACAATTGCTCACGCTATGGCCGAATAGTTCGTAGTGGAGCTATATATACTGAATATATTTCTGGTGGTCAATATAATTGTCCCTCCCTAAATCATGCTTTCTCTTAGAGTCTATTTTTACTTTTCTAGTGTTATACACAAATGCAGGCGACTTGGTGAGGCGTCGATGAGCATAAGCAACGTTTCTGCGTTCGATGGTCGGGCTCGGCTGCAACATTTCGGTGTCATCGTTATCGTGTGAAAGCTTTGGGCTTAGTGCCTTCGTAGTTTTGGAGGTATCAACACTTCTGGAAACCGTTGGAATGTCAGAACTGACGCAACGGTGTAACTGTTCTACTTGTTTCTCTTTTGATTCATATTTAGGACTGCTTCTTTCATGAAGAGCTTTGCCGTCGTCTGATCTCTCTAATTCGGGACAGACCTTACAGTCACTTTCCCACTTATCGTCCATTCCTAGGCCTGATTCTTGGGGTGACGAGTTGATTTCTCTATTTTTCTCCATATCACCATTGCCTTCTAATCTCGTTGCCTCTGTCTTATCATCACTGCAACATTCTTCATCAGAACTATTTGAAACCTTATGTTCATATTGATTTCTCAACTTTTCAGTATTGCTAACAAACCCTGTATTATCAAACCTACGCTCTATTGTACAGTCTTCGACGAAAGACGTACGTCGCTCTTTTCTCAGAGCGTGGAACAGGGAGATTTGATCTTGCATAGGCATACTTATGTCACAGAGAGTGGCTCTTCTCTCGGCATTGGTTCGTGTTGTGTGAGGGCGACTATTGCCATTTGTGATATATGCTCGAAAATGTTCACTACCAAAATATAACCGATCGTTCAATTCTTTTATTCTTGCTTCTTTCTTCAAAAGTAAAAGAAAATATATTATTATTATTATTATTATTATTATTATTATTATTATTATTATTATTATTATTATTATTATTATTATTAGAAGTAGTAGTCGTAGTAGTAGTGTTAGTATTATTATAGGCCTAACTATTATAATTTTAATAAATATTATTATTATTAATTTTTCAGGCAAAAGACACATTAAAATGCAAAAAAAAATAATTACAAAGAACCTTAGATACTAGCCGCCCGGAAAACACAAAAGTAGCCTAAACCTTAGCCTGGGTTCAAGACCCTTAATTTGGAATACTCACTTTTTACTGTTGTTAGTGTACGACATACCATGTATGTATGTATATCAGCGTAATTAAAAATCTGAGAAACAACTAATAATGAATTTGAACATGACTAATGGTATACTAATAATTTAATCATGAATTGAAAAGAAATTCCAGAATACTGGTTTAATGACGTCCTCCACAATTCGGCGAGATGACGTAGGCTTACCAATAAAATCTATAAAAAAAATCACTCGAAAATTCCCTCCAATTAAAGACCACTTTTGGGACCGGGGTTTCTATGGTCTTTTGCAGCTTTGGTCTTAAAACAATAAAAATTAAAAAAACATTTCTTAATTTGGGACCACAGTATAGTGGTATTTAATTTTTAATTAGAAGGAAATTTGTATTTGTAATATTTATATTAATATTTACCTCCAGTAATGTACTTTTAAGTGTCTCTAACTCCCCTACTAGTAATGTTTCACAATACTCCAGTTTCTTCTTCGAAGTATCACTAGAGCAACAGAAACACCAACTGGAGCGGTGTCTGTTTTTAGACTTCTTTAATGAAGAATTAAAACGCATTTTTTCCTGTCTGTTCTTGCCTGCCTTCGTTATCTTCTTCATAATCAATAACTAACAGGAAAATATAATTAGACATTAAATTAACTTTTTATTTTGCTTTTACTCCTTTTGGCAAGACAATACAAAAACACTACGAAAGAAATAATACAAAATACAGTAGGCAAACACAATGGTGTATTTTATATCTGGTAACTTATTCGTTATTAAAACCATGTTAATTAGGCCTATAAATATGTGTAACTGTCGTATTCGACTGGTCGTTCTTCGTTGAACCACGCCAACCTGCGCAGTGGTAAAATCCTACTTAATGAAGACGACCAGTCGAATAGAAAACTAGTATATAGTCGACAAAAACAAAATGTCTACATAGAGAAAATTTACAAACCTTTGGGACAACCAACAGTATAGTCGCATTTCCAGTCGTTACAAGAGCTACAATAGATATCAGTATATACTTCACGTTAAGATAAAAAACGTCCGATCCACAGATTGGTAGCATAATTAAACCAATGCAACCAGCGACGTAACAGCACATAGTGATCGATCGGGAAGCTCGTAAAGGAGGAGAGGATACGTGGCGAGTTTTGTATGCTAAATACACTCCTGACGTCATTAACAACATCTTCGAGAAGTAAATTCCACCCAACCAATGCCATATCTGTTTGCTGTTGCAGGTGGTTAAATATTCTATGACAAAACTATCAGATGTTTCCTGAAAGTGAGAAATAAGAACGGCAAACATTACTGATGATGCCACATAACATTACAATAAAAAAAACCAGTTCGTAAGTCAATCGACATCATAGAGATATAATAAGAATACTAGAGCGCTAACAGCAATGTATTCGATGTTCGAAATACGCAGAGCTGTGTGTGTGTACCATCCAAGATGGCTGCCATAGATTCAGCCAATCAAATTTCCACTGAGCACTATCATTCTCAATTGCGCCCTCAATTTACACAGAAAGTTCAGTACAGCTAGTTACCCGTATTTTGAAACTCGAGCGTTGCGGTGTATGGGTGTAATGTCTTATACACATCTAGATGTGTATAAGAGACAGTTTCAAACGTTTACCGACGTCGGGCCAACAACGTACTGTGACGTTAAAGGACTAACATACCTATTATTCCGATATTTTATGTTGCAGATTAACAATACAAAGGCCAATAGCGCCATCAATCCGGCACATGCCACCATACAATAATAAATAATGTCAGAGAGTTCTATTTCTACCTCTTGAATGGAAACTGAAAAAAAAATAAATACAATGCAGTAAACCCGAAATAAGTAAGTAAGTCATGTATAAGATATAAGCGTTTCATTAAATGTAATATTAAGCATCCAACAAAATAATCATTGATACCTTGGGTAAACATATTATAACTAGTACCGTATGTAGTAGCAATGCCGTAGCCAGGATTTCCAAACAGTGCGGGACAATATTAGGGTGCACTCACTTTACGCGTAAATTCAAACAATGTGAACCCATTTTACACAAAAATACGAAAAATCTGGACTTATGTTTCTAAATTTTACCAATATTAAGCTTAATATTTTTCAAAAAATGGACCCATTTTATAAAATTAGATAATTTGGACCCATTTTTAAATTAATGTGGGCTAATCTTTGTGAATCCTTAAAAAAGTGGGACTGCCCCAACTGTCCCAATAGCTGGCTACGGCATTGTGTAGTAGAATGATAACGACCATGATGTTGAGATTATGTTGGTAACGATGACGTTGAAGAAAGATAATGATTGCAATATGATGATGACAATTACAACGGGACAACGTCGATGACCCTTGTCGTAATGATGATGATAATATCGACGACGGTGATGCAGATGATAATCATGATGATGGCGATGATAATTAATGATGGTGATGACCATGATGATTATGAATGTGATAATGATGACAATGTAGCAACTGAGAAGTACATTTATAACGAATGATAAATAAAATGAGTTGGAAAAAACACAACGCCTACGCACTTATGTCAAAATTATTATGTGTGCTGGAAACCGCTGGATCTTGTAAGACCTCGCCAAGAACCGTATCATAGAAAGATGTAGACACGCAACCATTCTGATGAAGCCTGCATACAGATAAATTAGCTGACCGAACACCAAGAACAGAAAACGCAACGTGGCCCTGAAAAAAAATGTAGTCAATACACCATAAATTATGGGCCTGTTGAAGTCTCTTTATACATTCAACTTTCTTCAATGAAAGCACCACCTGCTTTGAGATTCAGAGAAAACTTAATTGGTGGATAAGGTAATGATGAAGAATTATATGTCTTGAATATAAAGAGAAAGAATGGTTGTATATTTTGACAATAACGACAAAGCTTGAAACATGCGCAATCTATACAACTATATAATTATAATACCAATCAATTTGCCTTAGGAAACGCAATGTAAGTACAGGACACTTCAATCAAAAAATTCAAAACAAAGGAAATAGCAAATAAAACATTTTTTACTTTGGTTTCAGACCTGTCAAATTCGAACTAGAGCAACCTTATGATTTTTTTTTATTTTTTTTTTTTTCATTTTGTAGAGAGTGCTTTATTAAAAACTTATATACCATATTTATTCAAATAAACGCCCCGTGTGAAAATGTGTTGTTGCTTGTTCATAAAGATTTATTGATCCCAAAAAGGTTATAAAAACTGCAATTTTACTGAAATAGAGCATTCTATAGGCCTATAATGTGTTGAGAATGATGTTACTTCCATTAGCCTATAATTTTTTTTATAAGAACACATATTATAAGAACATTAAGGCTGAAATTCCCCAAAAATTAAGGGGAAAAAAGGGGAAAAAAACCCGAGAGAGAGAGAGAGAGAGAAACAACATATCTTATTCGTACCTTATTTGCAGTAGGTGTGACTATGTAATAATACAGTAATATACAGGTACTGCTGTAAATTAATAATCTTCCGCGTTTGAAAATTGTGTAAAATTAAGAACAAAATAAGAAAATTTTGAGCCTGAAATGAAAAAAAAAGTGTAGATTTGACAGTCATTTAGGGTGCGTTTAATCGAGGAAGTCGTTCATTCCAAATGATGCTCTAGGGGGTGTTTATTCAAGGGGAGTTTATTCAAGGGGGAATTTATTCAAAGCGGGACATTATTGGAATAAATACGGTATATAAATGCTTTACATACAATTACAGGGCCCTATAGACGCTGATATTAATGAGCACTTTAAATTTGTACTACAGATAGTATAGTAGAAATATTTTTAAACTCTAGAAACAAAAACTCATTTCAAACACCAAATTGTTCATATAGACCTATCACCATAATATTATGTCTCACCGTCTTTCCGAAGAATGATGTGTTTTTAACAGCACTTGTTAATTCACGGTTTAATTCAACCCTTGTCCTAAAAAATGGTGTTTTGGCAGAGATGAACGAATTTATCGCTACTGGATTCGAACCATTGAGGGCGTGTAACGTTGTCAACGCTGCATCGTGAGCAAACGCACAATCATTCACCGGATCGGAACTCTGTGGTAAAAATAATAATAAACGTCGACCGCTGCGCATCAATTGGAACAGACTTGAGGCAAGGTTTTTTTTACAAACAAAATAGTACGGTAACTATATTGGCCCATATCAAAGGCTTATTGAATAGTAATATCACCAACTACAGAAAGTTAATACATTTCATCAGGCATTGTACAATACTTTATACAAAAAATAAATCTATAATAAAGTAATTTGAAATAAGCCTTAGCCTATTTAAAACGTACAGGACACAATTAGTCCAACCAACTGATTACACATACTTACATTAATAAGAGTTGAAACACCGACGCACGTTATATCTTGCACTGACCAATCACTCACTCCGTCACATATCATTTTTGAGAGGACATTGCACGTTGAATTGTTCGCAAATATGAAGAACACATGTGGAAGTGTTGGACGCTGATATAATTGGCATAATAATTGAATGAGCGTGTCATCATCGGCATGCGCAATAAGTATCACGTGACGGATAAAGTTTACCTTTGGAGATGAAAATCACTATATTATCATTCCAAACACAAAGTATACATTATTGTCAAAAGCTAGACAAAAACATCAAACAATATGCTCTTGCTTGTCAAGTTTTGGTCTTAGAAAAACAAATTTCAGTATGTCTTTACTACAGTACAGTACAGCATTATTGAATTTTTCTCCATGGAGATGTTTCTAATGACGTTTAAACATGACTTTAGTAATGGATGTGTACAGTACAACTGAGTATCATTTCAGACACCCTTCCCTTCCACACCCCAAATTCAAGTGAGTAACTGGGATCCTACCTGTATACGCATGACGTCATTTGTGACGTGGCCAGAGAGTAACAGGGGTGATGTTTCGACGTTGTAGTAGTTTAGATGTTTCGACAATGTGGTGACAATCTAATAAAAATTATATATATATGACGATGTTAATATAATATATATATAATTATATATATATAAAGTTATATATATACATACTGTATATATACTGTCTCTTATACACATCTAGATGTGTATAAGAGACAGGAATAAAACATAAATAATAGGCCTGCTAGGCCTAGTGTTAGTGTTCGTATGCCTAAGTTATTTAGCATGCAGAAGTGCAAAAATAGTCTATTAAACCTTTCATTTCAATTTACTCACCATCTTCAGAAACCTCTAGGAATATTTTCATTACTGGATGAAGAGAGCCGCTTTCCAAAGGGATCTGACAAGTCACTCGTCAGCAAAATTACATCAAATTATGGCAAACACTCTAAAGCAAAAAAAGAAAGATACCAATGGAATAATTTTGTAACATTAACATATAAAATAGAAAATAATAAGCCCTAAACAAGAAGAAAAAAAAATATGGTACAGATATAATTGTTAACCTATATGACTCGAATAGCAGAAATATATTTCATTCGTTCTCATCAACCGAATTCGAATTAATTGTACTTAATAAATTGAAAGATATTTTCCTTGTACTGTATTAATTGTGTCAACACATGTTACCACCAATACACGAAAGGAAATACAATAGTTTTCATGAGGCGAAATGGTAAATCAGACACTGCAGTCGTTTCAAGTGCGTTTCAGGGACAATATTATGGCAAGCTCTCTCGCGCTCTAGGCCTATTATATATATAATTGTATTTTATTCAAATTCAAAATTCATAATTTACAAAAGCATAAAACATGGCAGCCAAAAAGGCTGAATTACGAATTATGTTACATTGAAATATTAGATTTCCATAAAATATTTTAGAAAAAAACAAGAGAAAACAACAGAATTACCATAGCAATCATTAGATTTCCATAAAATAGTTTAGATAAAAAACAAGAGAAAACAACAGAATTACCATAGCAATCATTTGCTATTTCTATAATTATTATATAATTGTAAATGATCGCTACAGCAATTATTATAATAAAACTTATTATAATTATTATTGTTAAATAATTGAATGAATTCATTACATCAAAACCATTAAATTAAAGAATTACGAATTACGCTCAACATCAAAAACATCAAAAAGCATGAAACAGATCAAATCTTGCAAACTACATACATTAAAAAACAGAGAAAAAAAAAGGTTATTTTCTGTATACTGTTGATATGACTAGTTTGAATAATACCAAAGATAATAAATAGCAGAAGATAGAGCAGCTTCCCAAAATAGTGGAACATCCGGTCGAAATGCATTGTGGGTACACGGAGAAAAATTTTACTGCATCCGCGCGGCGGCACTATATAGTAATAATAAAGGCGCCGCTCTGGTTCGTTTGTTTCCTGTAGTTTCTCCACTTAGGAAAATGTTCAAATTTTACTGCAAACGCAGGAGGGCGGATGTTCCATCGATTTTAATGCAAATACGCGGAACAGCTCATTCTTCTGCTATTTAAGTTCTTTGATAATACTGTACTAAATGTATTACCTAGGTGGTGGGAGTGTAGAGTTGTAGGTGGTGGTGGTGGTGGTGGTGGTGGTTGTATGATAGTGACAATGAGGATGATGATGTGGTAGTGATGGTATGGTATACTGCAGATGAAAGGTACAGTACATTAAATTGTGTAGAGGATGGATCGCCTGGTGGAAATGTGATATTTGTGGTGGAGTTGGTGGTGGTGGTGGTAATAGTGATGGTGTTAGTGCTGAGGTGGTAATACTGTTGAAGGTGTATGTAGTTTGAGGCTGTAGATGGTGGTGGTGGTGGTGGAAGAGTTAGTGGTGGTAATAATGATGGTTATGTACAGTAAGGGGAGGTTTAGGTATAGATGTAGGTGGTGGCATTGGTTGCACGACGGAAGTGATGATAGAGATTTAGTGGCGGTGTAAGTAGTCGGAATGGATGTGATGGTGGGGGTGTAATGGCGGCATCAAAGCAGAGTGGCGAATCACTTAAAAAGTAATTAATTAATGTAAGGGCTGAGCTATTTCACTACACGATGCCTTGATATATGATCTCAATGCCTGCGTCAGCTGTAGCATCAGGTATGAAATTGATAGGTTAATTTCAAAATAGGCCTACAGTAGCCTACACCTCAATCTAGTAGTCGCCTCATGCTTCAATGGTACACAATATGCATGCATCACCTCACCTCACTTAAAATGTGTGCGAGTTCAATGTTGGGCTATTTTTGGGGAGCATTTTTATATTAATATTAATAATTCATTGTGTTATAATGAATAAATAAATTAATAATAATAAATAATTAATTATAATAATGATAATACAGTAATAATAATAATAATTTTACTCTATAATAACAACAATGATAGTAATAATTAATATTGCAATATTATTAGTTTATTAATGTTATTGTTATTGACATCCCTTACACAAAATAATGGTAATATTATTCATATATAATAATAATAGTAATAATAACAATAGGCCTAATTATATGATACGTAGGCATAGTATTCACAATACATATGGTTACAACACGTGACATACAAAGTATGTTACTCGAAAGAAAATTATTACTATTGAATTTGTTTTTATTATTTTACTTTGTAAACATTGTACGACTGTACTTAGGCAAGTCAAAGCCACTACACAATTGAAAGAAAACTCAACGTACAACTAAGTACGCTGTTTTGTGGTGAACATGTTTTCGGTTCCAATTCTTCGATGTGAAAGAGGAGGATCACATAATTAAGTAAATACTTACTGATGAGTTGATGTTATGAAAGTAGAGAGTATACTTCCGTAACAGGTCTTCGTGTTGTGCTGAATCCATAAGCAGGGGTACATCCACGCATTCCTCAAATGTTACACCGCTTAGGAACAACGTTGGAAACATACCCCCAATGTGCAGCTCACTTATATTGCTTGTTCTCCCGGCATCAATAATTAAACTCAAAATAAATACAATAGGAGAAAACATTTCGACAATTAATATTTCTATGTAAAATATAGCGATGCATTCACATCAGACTTGTTGCGTTCACGATGGACATTAGATGCGTTCACATTGGACATTGGTTGTATCACATCAGCGCTCTTTTTCTCCAAGGATACACGTTTGTCCGGTTTGGAATCCCGGTGATGTTTGTTTTAATCGCTATCATTATAGTGCGGTACAGTATCAGCGTGGCGCTGTTTATATAGTCAGCAATTCGGCTCTTTATTTTTATATTTTTATATTGATGGTTTTCGATGCTCTGATTTTACGTAGTACTTTAAACTCTTGGTTTTATGTTGCAGAAACACCTGGTTAATAAATCATTAAATAGAATACGGACTGTCATGGAATATGATTTTAATCTCATTATTTGTCAAAATTTGAATTGCTCCTTCTTCCGACAGTAAACGATATAACTTACAACCTTGTCAATTGTCACTGTGTACTAATATTTTTCTTTCGATAGTCACGTTCAATCACATGTGAGGTGACTCTATATTCCATACACATTTCCATTAGTGTCAGCTTTATATATGAATTAATTGGTGTAACGCCCGTGAGCTCTCGGAACACAGCATTCAATAGGAAATCTTAGCTGATATTTTGCCCAACATTTTCTCGTCCCGGCCACATGACTCGTTGTAAACCCACTGATGAATTTATACATGACACACAGTAACGTATGTATAACACAGGGGTGGATCCAGAGAGGGCTGAAAGGGGTGGGGATATGCGATCTAGAGACAACACTACCTGGTGGGGGTCTGTTGACATGCCCAGGAATTTTTTTTTTTTTTTTTTTTTTTTTAGACAGTGTATCATTCTTTCAAGAGAGAACAATAAAAGGATACCAAGTGGAATGAACGTAGCCTATTTTTAATGTCGCTAAATTGAAATATTTGTCTACTTATGACCACCGATCGGTCAACCGTCGCCCGTAGAATTCGTTCGCGCCGTGTAGGCACAAATGCCGTTCGGTAACCGGCGATGACAATCAGAACGGATAGACCTTGAAAAGATATAACGGAATCCCGTCAGCTGTCATTGCAGTTCTCCATTATTTATGCTTATCCAAATAATATACATTTATTTTACCGTTACAGTAAGTTTCGACTATCTTTTTAATATTATGAAGTAGGTGTAATTTCTGTCTTTGGGCAAGTAGCAAATCAATCACTCGGATCTGGATTGAAATTTAGGGTGGAGGGGCTGGGGTAAAATTTTCACAAAAACCAGAAAAAAAGGGGGTCTGGGGTTCTTCTTTGTGCCCAAAGTTTGGGAGGGGGTGAGTGGATCCGCCAATGATTCACTTAATTTCTATTGAAATGCACACAATTCAGTTCTGTCAGTCCCATTATGCAATATCTTAACATTAGGTATACTCAAATAAGGAAATAATATATTAGTAGACGAAAGGGTAACCATAACTCTTGTCTGTGGTTTTATACTTAAATTAAGAAATAGATGTACCAATCAAGTAGGTAGGTTATTAGTAGCCACGATTCTCCGTTTGCCGGTACAGTATATTGATCTAGAAAATTCTAACTTCTACGAAGACAATAACAACTTAGAAAAACATATTCATTACCGTATTACAAGCAGGAACTAAGCTATATACTTAGTTTCATCGTCTTTAACGACAATAGTTACACCAATATTGCCGGATTTAATATGACCGGTCATGTTCTAAAGTAAATGTTTAACACTAACAATTGCAGTCTTTAAACATAGGAACGTGAACCAGACAAAAGTTGTGTTATTTGTTCGTTGTGACCCACGACAAGCACGACGCAATAAAAGTGTGTTCTTACCTCACCAGCGGTAGCAATAACCCACCAAGACAATAGGTAACGAAAGTTAAGCCTCGGTTACGCATGTTACATTGAAACAAGATATGGATTGTTGAATATCTGTACCTGTACTTAGTTAATACAAACCTATTTTACTGACCGTGAACGATTTCTAAAAATTATAATAATGGATGAATAATGTGTTGTGATGACAAGAAGCTATCTTGCATTAGACAATATAAAAGGTTCTACGGGATCAAACTATGAAAAATAGGCTCCGAGTACGTTGGGGAGCGTGTCTACTTCAGGGCCCAGATTTTGCTCTGCACCCCCCTCCACCCCTCCGAGTAGCTAATGATGATGAAAGGCTGAGCAACCCAGGTGTGCTCAGCATTGAAGCAATGAAGAAGGGCAAAATCACTTGATCTTGATGAATTTGTGAAATTTAGCAGTCATCATAACAACAGACGAATCAATCTATATTAGGCAGTTTAAGGTCCATCTTGTGTGATGGCCATGACTGACTGTGTAATCATATCCATGGTGGTTTTCGCATAGCAGCATCCTCAACTTGCTCATGACTGTGTCGGTATGATATCCAAATCCAAATTTAACTCGAAATGGATGTTTAATATATATTGTGTAGTTTTAGTTTACAGTACAGTAGGCCTATTATAGCATTTGGTTCCTCGCTTCGATTAGAACACAGCACTACTTCAAACATTTTACAGCATTCATTTTGAAAATTAAAAAAAATGGTCAGTAGGTTTGGGGTCAGTAGACACAAACACATAATAGGGGAGCATACTGAATGCAAAACATCTTCAATATCATAATCATCATTCATATCATCATCCTCATCATCATCAATATAATCAAGGTCCTTGTATCTTTGTAATTACCATGGCCATGGTAAAGATGATCATAATCATCATCTGTGTACGGTTACTGTATTCAATAGACTTATTCAAAACATAGAGAAATAAGTTTAGAAATAACAGTTTAAAAAGTTAAATATTTTTATTAATTTTACAGTACATAAATCATCCATTATAGGATGGGATGATAATACCTTTTTACTAAGCTCCGTCCCCTGGATATTTTGTTAAAGTTTCACAAACGACAGCATAAACGCGTGCGTTTATGGGACGTCTGCGTATTCCTGCCTTCTTTCGATTGGTCAGTTGTTAACTCTGGAAAGTTCTGAGGCTTGGGAAGTAGAATTGCTTTGTAGCAATGAGAAATAAAAAATCTTGGTATCTAACAGGACTTACACCCAGGACTCCTGGCATTGGAGGGCAAGCACCTTAATAACCAAACTACAGCTACATTTTAAAAATATTTTTGTTCTCTATATGCATCTACTAAATGTTTTAATATAGCGGTTCCCGATATGTAATAAAACTATACATAATTTCTGTATTCTCATGATTATATATTTATAATATATATATTATATAGGAAGACTTATATTAAATTATAATACTTATGTAGTATATGTTATAAAATTAATTATATTGTAATACTAATATATATATATATATATATATATATATATATTTATATGTATATGTAATTAATCATGTACGTTTATGTTACATAATTATTAATAATTTCATGTAGAAATATATATGCATAATAGAAATACAATGATTATTAATTATTATTATTGTTATATGTACAATTAATTATTGAACATATTGCGCATATTAGAGGACATTAGAGCGGCGTACACTATTATATTATTGAACATATTGCATGAGCATGTTATAGGAGTTACCGGTTACCAATGATGAAGATAATTTAACATATATTATTGAGTGTATTGCAATTTTGACTTTGACAGAAACAAACGTTTGTATTTAAATTAAAACACATTTTGGTGTGTAACTATACACTTTACAACTTATCTTATACTTAAGTGACAAATGATAAATGGCGAGTCGAGTGGCCGAGCGGTAAGGCAAGGTCACCGGTAGCTATAGCCTTAACATTGGCGCTGGTTCCAGCCGCTCCTCGTCCATGGTTCAGTTGGTAGAACCAAGTCTTGTTGGCGTTAAGTGCTATATAAATCTAACATATTATATTATTATTATTTGCACTTTAAAGAACCCATTGCATCTTTTGGAAGAGTAGAGGGTTACCCCGATGTTATGGTTCATTTCAGCCCCTGTCGTTGTGGAATGATGTGAACATGTATCTACCAAGAAGGCCTCTTTACAGCTGCTAGGTAATCACAGTTCTGCACAATGATGCTGAAAGTTATGTTATCTCCTACCTTTACCTTACCTTTACCTATGATAATAGGGAATTTTTGATTTGCAGTGACATAGAATGTAGAATGTAATGATGTCATGTAAATTTAACTGTGCATGTCTTAATGTTGTGCGCAACGTTCTCTCCTGAAGACTTGAACAGTTGTCGGCCAAATCCACGTTCAGGCTAAGGGGAAAGTACTTCATTAGACATTGGTGTTCAATGCGTGCGACAACAGTCACAGATAAGTTAATCAGTTCTACATTCTCGTTCTATGTTCTCAATCAAAAGCTCCCAAATACCATTGTGTATGTAACTTAAGTATAAAGTTGTTCAGTTTCAATCATTATACTCCATTTTTTAAACTAGTATGTATTTCAGCTAGACTGCCGGAGCATGTCTTGGCTCAACCAGAATTTCATTAATCGCAACATGTGAAGGTTGACTGACGGCATACACTACGGCTCTCGCAACATCACTAGGATCTAACACTTTCTCTCCACTACTATCAGCATACTCTGCTTTAGCCTAGAAAAATATTAATAAAAGAGTTTGTAAATGACTATCAAAATGAATTTGAAATATAATATTAATACTGTCTCTTATACACATCTAGATACTGTCGACATCATCCTCATTATCACCATCATTATAATTTGTTGAAATAGAAAGTCATCATCATCAATATCATTCTCATTTTCATCTAACATAATAATATACAGATTATTATCAATGAAAATTTAATTACTAAAATTGATAATTTGTGCAAAAAATATAGTTAAAATGTCACTCACCACTCGGCCTGCATTTGATGACATGTTCACGATGTGCCCCATTTTCCTTTCTAACATGCCTGGGAGTACCGCACCAATACCATTCACCACACCCTAAGAATATAATAAAAATACATGAAATGTATATAATACGTAGAAAGCAGAAACATGAATGAAGTGTGGACGATTGTTTCAAGGTTTACCACATCAACACTACAGTATGCAATAAAATAAAACATGGTCTGTAAGATGTATATGAAGAAGACATATACATCTTACAGACCATGTAAGATGTATATGAAGAAGACATGATTAACCTTGCAATTGATGTCAATAGTCCTCTCCCATTGATCTTCTTGTATACCTGTCTCTTATACACATCTAGATGTGTATAAGAGACAGGCTATAGCCTTAACATTGGCGCTGGTTCCAGCCGCTCCTCATCCATGGTTCGGTTGGTAGAACCAAGTCTTGTTGGCGTTAAGTGCTAAATAAATCTAACATATTATATTATTATTATTTGCACTTTAAAGAACCCATTGCATCTTTTGGAAGAGTAGAGGGTTACCCCGATGTTACGGTTCATTTCAGCCCCTGTCGTTGTGGAATGATGTCAACATGTATCTACCAAGAAGGCCTCTTTACGGCTGCTAGGTAGTCACAGTTCTGCACAATGATGCTGAAAGTTATGTTTTCTCCTACCTTTACCTTACCTTACCTTTACCTTTACCTACAATAATAGGGAATTTTCGATATGCAGTGACATAGAACGTAGAATGTAATGATGTCATGTAAATTTAACTGTGCATGTCTTAATGTTGTGCGCAACGTTCTCTCTTGAAGACTTGAACAGTTGTCGGCCAAATCCACGTTCAGGCAAAGGGGAAAGTACTTTATTAGACATTGGTGTTCAATACGTGCGACAACAGTCACAGATAAGTTAATCAGTTCTACATTCTCGTTCTATGTTCTCAATCAAAAGCTCCCTAATACCATCGTGTATGTAAATTAAGTATAAAGTTGTTCAGTTTCAATCATTATTCTCCATTTTTTAAACTAGTATGTATTTCAGCTAGACTGCCGGAGCATGTCTTGGCTCAACCAGAATTTCATTAACCGCAACATGTGAAGGTTGACTGACGGCATACACTACGGCTCTCGCAACATCACTAGGATCTAACACTTTCTCTCCACTACCATCAGCATACTCTGCTTTAGCCTAGAAAAATATTAATAAAAGAGTTTGTAAATGACTATCAAAATGAATTTGAAATATGATATTAATAAGTGAGGATCAGCTCAAGGATTTCCTGAGGAAAGAAACATAATATTGTGGAATAAATAAATGATAAATATTCCAATTAAGCTGTCATTGATTCAGTTTTTATTCATAAATCAACATCCATTTCTCCTTGATTAATAATCTGTTTCATTATGAAGCTAATCGACTGACCCTGTCTTTCCTACTTAGATACATACTATACATTTGAATTATATTAAATTAAGTTGATTTGGTATAAAACAAAATATGTTGACTTAGGGAACCTTTCGTCATGGGTACATATTGCGCCGTTGGTCATCGTCCGAGGAAAATTTAGAACGCAATACAAGGCACTCTTTCGGATTGTTTTTTTATGTCAACCGCTCCATCTACTTCGACAATTAGCAAATAGTGTCGTGTTGCCAAGCGCTCATACAGAGCGAGATATATTAGTCGGACGATGGTCATACAACGTAGTGTGTGCCAATTTCATAATAATATATAATATAATTTCATAATTATTATAAATTAAAATGTTGTCTGTATCAATCATGAGGGCAATTTAGAACAAAGGTAAGCGATTCAATTTTGGTGTGAGGGGGCAAAGTTCAAAACCTACTGCTGTTCTTGCTTGCTCAAATCACCTTAAGCTTTGGAAGGAATGTTAAGAGTTTGGTCCTGTGTGCATAATAACCACCTTTTATTAATATCTGTTGTCATTATTTTAACAGCTTACCTCTTGGTCTGTTGTGTGGGCAATGAGCTCTGTGGTAACGTCACCAGGTTGGATGCAAGTTACCTTCACTCCAGTTCCTGCTATCTCTTTCCTCAATGACGAGGAGACTCCTTCCACGAAAAACTTGCTCCCAGAGTATACAGCCAGTCCAGGAAAAGCCTAGAAATTATAGAAATTGGTCAACATACTGTCGACATCATCCTCATTATCACCATCATTATAATTTGTTGAAATAGAAAGTCATCATCATCAATATCATTCTCATTTTCATCTAACGTAATAATATACAGATTATTATCAATGAAAATTTAATTACTAAAATTGATAATTTGTGCAAAAAATATAGTTAAAATGTCACTCACCACTCGGCCTGCATTTGATGACATGTTCACGATGTGCCCCATTTTCCTTTCTAACATGCCTGGGAGTACCGCACCAATACCATTCACCACACCCTAAGAATATAATAAAAATACATGAAATGTATATAATACGTAGAAAGCAGAAACATGAATGAAGTGTGGACGATTGTTTCAAGGTTTACCACATCAACACTACAGTATGCAATACACTAAAACATGGTCTGTAAGATGTATATGAAGAAGACATATACATCTTACAGACCATGTAAGATGTATATGAAGAAGACATGATTAACCTTGCAATTGATGTCAATAGTCCTCTCCCATTGATCTTCTTGTATACTCCTCATGTATGTGTAATACATTATTCCGGCATTGTTCACCAATATGTCAACTGGTCCCAATTGCTTCTCTGTTTCAGAGACAAAGTGCTTTACCTGATGAATGAAAGGAAATTCACATTTAGCTTTATTGTCATAATCATTATTAATGCTTTACATATCACTAACTTTGTCTCTGTTTTCAGAAATACTATCTCTATAGGCAAGTGAAGTCATTATGGCAGGGGTCCCCGCAACCACTCTCTTATGCATCTGCATAGGTTCGAGGACATCCTTCCTCAAAGTTTGGTGGGTAGAACCAGATAGAACCAAGCCTACTCAAAGTATACATAAAAGTATATATAATAATATTGTCCTGCATGTAATCAATAAAACTCCACATATACAAGAAAAGTAATGGTTTTAAATGTTAACTATATGTACAAAGTGGGTATCATTTACTTGTTCTCTGTTTGTAACATCCGTCTTCATTACAAATACAGTACCATTGTTTGCCTCAATCTCATCCTTCAGTTGATTTAGCTTCTCCTCTCTGCGGGCTGCTATAGCAACTGAGGCCCCTGCGTTGGCAAGATGGGTTGCAATTGCTGCTCCAATACCACTAGAAGCACCTGTTACTATAGCAACTTGTCCAAGCAAAGGCTTATCAGCTGGTGAAATTCATAGAATAGTATAAATTGATAAATCATGATTATAATTCTTGTTATTAACTTTATTACTTAGTAAAGCATGTTGAGATCCATTTATGAACTAGGCCTACTTACTGCTTTGATGTGGTTTGGGGGAGGCAAGTACTCTTCTAGCAATCAGATGTTTCAAGTACATTCTTATTTGCTTCACATCAACGATCGGGTATGACATCTGCCAATGATCTAGTCTTTCCTTTAAATTAGTCATGTCAAATTGCGAATTGTCTTTAAAAAATTCTGGATTTCTGTTGAAAGATATGTTATTAATACATAAATAACAATTTTCATCATCATCACCATCATCATCATAATCATAACCACCATAACCATCAACACCACCACCGACACCAACATCTGGATCAACATTACAACCATACTTATTACCATCAACCATTAACCGCAGCTACAACCATTACCATGGATAGATGTCAATCACCTACACATATCAATGACTTTATAAACACAAAACATAGAATATGGAACCAAAGCCACCTTAGAGAACTTACTTGTTAACACCATCAAGGGCTTCACCTAATCGCCTAGTCTCCTCCGATCCATTGCTGAGCAAATCAATTTCTTCACCCCACTCTTCAAAACTGACCACTTTCAGAGGGTATCCTAAATTTCTCATAGTTTGGTACAGTTGACTGATATAAAGAAAAACATGGAATTTATCATTAGTTCCTTAGAAAGAGTCAAAATAATACTTCTAATTTTGTTAAAACAAAACAGATTATACAAATACAGTTCACCCTCAAATTTGAGAGCACCTTTGGGACCTGAAAATTTGGATGGTTTTGGGGTTAGGTCTCCAATTAGACGATTAGCTTTGTGTTAAAAGATTGAAGATTGTTATTTGGTTCTTAGAAAAGTGGTGTCATATTAGAACGTCTCGGAATTAGAGGGTTCTTGAATTGGAAGGTGCACTGTATAGAAAGTTTATGGGATAGAATAGTATTCTAATGAGGTGAAAGATGGAATTTTATTATTCAACAAGGCTTGTTCAATTTAAAAGTTCTACTTTTACCGCATTAAAATGTATTATTCCATTGAAGACATCAGAAATATTCATTATTTGTTTGTTACCTAGTGAATAAAGATCATTTTCCTTTGCAAAGTGGGTCTATACTATACTAGCAAGGTTTGCATGATAAATGTTGTGGCCAACCTAATCTGTTTCTACTCCTTCTTATAAGGCAGACACCTTCTCCACACATTAGCCCTCAATTCCACCAACACACAAGCATTCCAGCAGATTGTAGTATTAAGTACTCACTCTGCCTCAACGGGATAAGGATTCACCATGTGAAAGACTTTGCCGACACAGCACATCAGATTCTGCGTCATGTTAATGATAACGCTGCTTACAAAATCCACCGGAGTCATTTCTATTTTCCAGTTGATGTCTGGAGCAGAAAGAGTTGCAGCAATTCCTTGTATTGCTAACAGGTTTGAATCCATTGGGTTCCAGAAGGCTGTCTTGGAGTCACCAGAAAGGTTCCCTTAAAAAAAAAAAAGTTTTATCATTAAAAAAAGATGTTCATTGAATTTATTTGAGGCAGAACTTGTCAGTTAGAGGTCAGAGCTTCCCGATGCATTCTGACTAAGTTTTATTTGGTTTAGTGAAGAGTGAAATTGCTTATAAACCATGAGAAAAAAAGATTATAGAATTACAGTATATGAACCGAGAACTCTGGGATTGAAAGTCAACCTCTCTTTCATGGCCTCCTATTCCATCATACTCCACAGCAAGTATAATCAACCATTCTTTCATATGCCTTACTACCAGTGGCATATCTACGAGTCTTGTAATGGGGGTGAGAGGGGGCACTAGATCCCAGAATAATGTAATCTGAGGTGATTTAAACTAATTGAATGTGACTTCTGGTATTTTTTGGGTGTTGTGTGCACCCCTACATATGCCACTGCTTACTACTATCAACCAACTCACCAAGTCTGTAAACAATGACCGGGAGACCACGTGACTTGGCCCTGAGGACCAACTGTTCTGCCACCCATTTAGTTTGACCGTAACCATCGGTTAGAAATGGTGCATACTTCTGCATGTCATCAGTTTCCATGCAATTAGTAGTGTTATGCGGGAACACGCTATTTGTGCTGCGTAAACAATGAAGTGACACAATCATCAAAGATTAGTATGTTATTTGAATTCAAAATTAGTGTTTGTTAGTAATAAATTTATTACCTTAATACTAATAGTGAATTCACTCCGGCTGGATGAATGAATACAGTAGATGGGTGGATGGATGAGTGGGTGGATGGATGGATGGACAATTGGATGGATGAATGCATCAATGACCAGGGGGGGGGGGATATTGATGTGAAGCACTTAGAGGCCTTATTGACACGAAGTCTAACATGTTAGTTATTATCATTATAGAAGGATAGATACTTTTTTTGCAGAAACTATATGGAGATATGAAATGATGAATAATTTTATATTGTATTGTATTGTACTGTATTTTATGGAGAGTTGATTGATGGATGAACAAATGGATGGATGGACAGCTGCACGGATAGATAAATATTCAATTTTTTTTTTATTGACATCACTAAATAAAATAGTATTACAGCCAATATACAATTAAAAACCAAACGAGAGAACAACAAGAGAAAACAGCAAAACATTTATCAAAATAAATGGATAGGAATATGGATGAATTGATGGATAGGTGGATGGATTGAAAAATAGATGAATGAAGGGATGGATGGATGGATATATGCATTAAGAGATGAATGTAACTGCATCTAAAACCCTGGAATGTATTGAACTTATACAACTTATACAACTTATTGAAGATATCTGTAAACACATCAATTAATTGACTTTGAGCAGATCTGCAGACTTTTAATTAATGATGATGATACTTTCTTGTCAAAATAATTTTCTAAAACCTCTATTTTGAAATTATTGATCTTTTCAATTCATATCTTGAGTAGCAAAGGAAGTTCCATCCTTCATGTTCCCCCATCGGAAATTTTCAATTTATTTTTACTTGTAAATATTTTGATCTATTACCTGATGTGATGGAGTGGTTTTATCTTGTTTGTGCATGCAAATAAAACTGTGTTCTGTGTCCCTAAAACGTTTGTTCCATGAAGGGCATCATATGGATATATGAGATTAACATAGGCGGCTGCATGAACGATGAAGTCAATCTAAGGAAAGTAAATAAAAAGAAAATACGATTTCATCGATGTTGGACAATATGAAGTTTAGATACATGTATGAAATAAATTTATGATTAATAGTCATAATAAAAACATTATTAAATTTATTCCACAACATACTCAATAATTACATTACAATAACCTAGTAGAATTAAACAGTAACAATTACAAAAACAATTAATAATAACAGCAATAAAACAGTACTGTATATAGAGAGAAATCAATTGACACATTCTGCGAAGTCTGTATATAGCCGGTCATCTGAAATATAATGGGTATAACTAGGAAGAACTTACAGTGCTATCAGTGTTAAATGATAGGAAAAGGTAATGTTATGGTTTCAAAAACTACGGCTCAACATTAATGTAAATAAATGGCAAGGAAAGGCACTACGATTGTTCAAAATAGTGTTTATTTACTTACTCAAGTGTTCTCTGCGCTTTGTATGCTTTAGAATTTATGTGATCTTTCGTACACCTTAGCTGGCCTAGAAATCGTAGTGTGTCAAAATCACAGTTTGCGGATCAAGAACTCTTGTGCATACCTAAACAGGCCGTAGATATGTAGGGGCCTAGGCCTAGCATTTCTCGAAAAATCTCAATGTCTCAGTATTAGTAAATCATTATTACAATTTCTCAAATTCTCAATTTCAAATCAATTTGGTATAGTTTACTGGCACATTATTCAACATCAAATATGTACTTTACTGTAAAAACACTCAGGCTGAAAAAGCCACACGTTTTTTTTTTCATATTACCAACCTAGCAGAATGTGTCTATGCAACAATATTAACAACAATAACATGAACGATATAAAAACAAATAATAATAATAATTCTGGATTTATATAGCGCCTCATGTTGTCATAACCTCAAACATAAAAATGGGCCATTTAGAGGGAAATACACTTTCTGATTGGTCTATGCCTTGCTTCAAATTATCTTTTTCACTCAAACATTTTTTTTCCTTGCCTCCTTATTTTACCAGCCCTTAAGTCACGCATTCACTGCACACGATGGTCATATGACCATTGCACGAATCCAACTCCCTGTCAGCAATAGACGATACAACGCCGTCTGTTGAATTTCAGTTACTAGTAGTCTAAAAAACAGATCGCCATTAAAAGCCATCTGTTGCGTGCGCCGTCGCATTGCATTCTTCGTAGATTCGTGTCGGCCAACAACCATAGTGGGCAGTGAGTGCCCTGCTTTATACAACAATTCGTCGCTCACATCACGAACTAACACAATCAAAGCAGATTGTGTTAGTTTGTGAAATCAAGAAAGCGTATCAAAATACGCGCTGTTGTTAAGAAATTTTTGTGTGGTAAAGAATACAAAATTGCTTGACAACCAATATGCGCTTGTTTTGACGCGCTACTGTGAAGCCAAAAGACTTACCTCATGGCTGAGGTACGTGTAATCTTCCTCACTCATCCCCAGATTCATAAGAGACACATCACCTGTTGCATAAATGCAAACTCATTTAGAACAGAACTCACTATAACATTGTGAAACGATGACGGATTAGTACAGTTTAATTATAGTATAAACTAATTTTTAACCATAATCCCTCAAACACAATAAGCCACTGACATAAGCCAATGAATGTGCAATGCATCAGCATCAAAACCTAAGAAATGAATAATGAGAGTTGGGAGTAATAAAAAGAGGAGGTAAATTTAGTCAAAAAAACCTTCTACTTTTTTTACTGTAAAATTACGCACTTCCTTCTTTATAAAGATTAATTTACGGTATAGATAAGACTTTCACCTGTAATTGGTGTGACTCTGGTCTCAAAGTTTTTCAAGAACGTGCTCCTGTTTTCTTGGGTTGAATCTTTACAAATTCCGAACTGTTTAAGGGCAGCAAGGAGCCGCTGCTTGCCAGTCATATCAGGAAATCTTCGCACAAGGCAATAAATATGTGTCTAGAAAACAATAATTGATAAAAATAAAATTGGAATAAAGACTACAAGAACACGTAATTACAAAAAATCATAGATTTCAATTAAACAATATAAAGAATATCTAAAAAACACATCAATTATATGTGGAATATTTCCGTACCTGTGTATTTAACAATAAGTCACGAAGAATAAACGCTCCAAGAAATCCAGTAGCGCCAGTAAGTAACACACGCCCTCGTTGCCAACGATCTCCATACTGGATGGAACGCCAGAATGCACGAAGCTGCATATCAAGTCGCATAATGCCTTGGTCATGCTTTTTGACCTCTGCCACAAGGTCAACAATTGGGTGTAAAATTTCAAAACTCCTAAAATGATAAGATACATTGTTAAAATTATCAGATAATAAACTTAAATACCAACAATCTACATGAAATATTAAATGCAAAAATTTATCAAAACACAAATTTAATGAGGAGCATTAAAAAAATATTGTAGCTTTGTATAGTTTATTAGCCAATCCGACCCTATGTGTTACTATTCAGTGTCAGTCGTTGTGGTAATAAAGTAATCAAACTTAGTATTCCTCACCCGCACCACTGTATTGGATATTTCGGCTCCATTTCCTATGAAGGCCTGTTCATCTCTGGCTTCTGTTCACCAGCCAGGCTAGATTCATGCATGACCGGTTACTATCACTAGAACATCTCTACCAACAGCTTGTATGTAATGTGACACTGAATAGTAACACAATAGGTCGAAATGGCTAATGTTGATATTAATCCAGAGAAAGCGCAACAGACTCAGCAACAACACAGTGGCGTATCTAGAATTCTTGAAATGGGGTGCTGATGGGGTAGGGGCAAGAAGGTGAAGTGAGGGGAGCTGAATGATCAGTTGAGGTGTGCCAACTCGCAAAATAATGTGATTTTTGGTGATTTTTAACTACTTGCAAGTGATTTTTTGGTGGAAACAGGGTTTGGCACAAGAAATTTTTGGAGGGGCGTGTGTGCCTGTGTACCCCCCCCCCCCCAAGATACACCACTGAACTGCAGCAACATGAAAATATTGTCGGACTAAAAAAAGTAAAATTCAATTTAATTGTATCTACCTAGCATTTATTTACCTTGAATTTAGACATTTTTGCCGACATTCTTCTAGCAACTGTGACATACTTGTGACCGTCGGATAATTAAATAGATCCGTAACAGTCAACTTCACACGGAATGCATTCTGTACTTTGTTTAGTAGACGAGCTGCCAACAAAGAATGTCTATTAAACAAAAAATTATAATAAATAGATAAATCCAAATAATAATATAATATTTCATAAATTGATTTGTGTCTATAAAATTCACAATTATTAAAATCTGAAATAAACAGAAATATCACATTTTCAAAATTAGGAAACGTAATTAAAAAAACATTTAGCTTTGAGTTTTACCCTCCAAGATCAAAGAAATTGTCCTGAACATCTACGGATTTCAACTGGAGGATGTCGCACCAGATACTCGCAAGCTTTTTCTCAAACTCGGTAGAGGGAGTCCCTTCCTGGCCGGCATTTAACTGCTGCTCTGCAATATATGGCGGCAAAGCCTTCTTGTCTAACTTTCCTGATGCTGGCAAAATTGGAATACTAAGGGAAAAAAATTATGGTAAATTTAATCAGAGTTAAATCAAAGTCTATAAAAATATCGAATTTATCAGCTTCAACATAAACATGTGCACGACCATGTGCTTTAAATGCAGGGCCCCAATGGAAATCAGTGTTTTAACTGTTTGGGCTACCCTGGGTAAATAAATAAATAAACATCCTTAAAGTAGCAGAAAAATCAAAACACACACAAAAAAATCAATTTAAGAAAAGTTCATGAAATCTTGTACAGAACACTATTCTAATTACAGGTAATAACAGTGCAAATTGATTTCAAAATTTTGGAATACTAAGGGAAAAATTATGGTAAATTTAATCAGAGTTAAATCAAAGTCTATAAAAATATCAAATTTATCAGCTTCAACATAAACATCCTTAAAGTAGCAGAACAATCAAAACACACACAAAAAAATCAATTTCAGAAAAGTTCATGAGATCTTTTACAGAACACCATTCTAATTACATGTAATAACAGTGCAAATTAATTTCAAAATTCTTTATTAATTTGGCTGAATAGAGAGCAGGTAGATAGTAGTAAAATAAACTGGCCTGACTAATCAATGAAGTTACCTTGATAGAAAGACAAAATATGACGGAATCATGAAATTGGGAAGCCTAGTCTTTAGCTCAGCTCGAACCTCTTTCTTTGTGGTCTTGCCCTCTGGCACAACATAAGCCACTAAGAATTTATCCTCGCCTTCAGCCCCTTGGACCAGTACTACACAATTGTTGACCATCGATAGAAGAAGCAAGGCGGACTCAACAGCCTACAGAATAGCAAAATTAGATAAATAGCTATACAGTACATATATTATATTGCAAAATATTCAAGTGATATCATGCACCAAAAAAACAGAAAGAATTTTGATACCTGGATCTCTATACTGTATCCTCTAATCTTAACCATTGAGTCACAGCGTCCACATATCTCAAGGTTACCGTCTGATAAGATGTAGCCCCAATCCCCAGTTTGATACAACCTGTCTCCTACAGACGCTGGTACCCCTGGGGGTCGTTCAATAAACCTCTTCGCATTCAGTTCAGGGCGTTTGATGTAGCCCCGGGCTAATGTAGGGCCTGCCACGTAAATCTGAAAGACAAAATATTAGTAAATATGAGTTGAACTGCGTAAGTTAAATATAAAGCAGGCATATCTATGCACTGTATAACATCCAATTACATAATTGATAATTATTCAGGATGTTTATGTTTATAGTTGGCATAGCAAGGATAGATTCACACATGTAAATTAACTTCAATACCAAAGTTATTCAATTTAATTTTCCAATAGATTGTATGATCAGATGACCCAAAAATGGATTTTTATTTTAATTCTTTGATTTAATTGTTGATGTTGTTGTTCTTACTTCCCCAGGTGAACCCACAGGCTGACTGGTCAACTGGTCATCAAGAATTACCACCTGGACACCTTGCAACAGTTGACCGACTGGACAATACTTGCGCTTGCTATCTGCTGTCTGCAATAAAACAGGTATTGACATATCATTTTCACAAAAAAATATAACACTGGGTATCAATAAACTAAACCAAACCTGATGATGTAGAGGGCGCTATTTAATCATAAACATTATGATCAATCCAATACATATTATTGAACAAAATTGTTTAAATAGTTATTGTGAAGTATACCTCAGATTTTTTATCTAAGGAAAGGTTGCTGACGGCAACGTCATGGCACTCAGAAATACTATAAAGATTCAACAGCTTTATCCATGGCAATGTGTCCAAGATTCGATCTCTCAAACAAGTGGTAACTACCTCTCCACACAGCCAAATAATTCTACAGATTTAGAAAAACAAAAAAAAAAACATTTTTATGGATCTTAGGCTAGCATATAAATGCTTGAAAACTACTTTATAATTATGTTTATGAAGTAAAAGAAATAACAGGTAAAGCAAGATTTTACATCACAAGGTCGGGTTTCTATTCCTAGCTGTGCGTTTCGCAAGGCACCTTATCTGCATTGCTTTCTTCCACCCAGGAGTCTAAATGGGTACCTGGTGGAGTTTCCTGCTCCTGCACTGATTACCAGCAGCAACACTTAAGCATGTGGACCCAAAAACCAGGGGAAAAGAACTGCACTTTGAACCACAAGGAAAAGGTGCATTATAAATGCCCATACCATGTACCAGCACCATTATAAGCATCTCTTTTCATGTATAATTATGTTTGTATTTTCCACCTCTTTCACAACATTTGATGTCATTAAATTGTTTGTATTTTCAGGCAACAGCCATTCTTGTTATATAATGTTCAGGTAGGTTTGACCCTCATAGTAAATATGCTGTATTATTTACCCCTTTTGTATAGGTAAATAAATCCGAGTTTCAATCATTAAAGAAATATATGCTGTTCCCACCTTAAATGTTGAAGATAATTAGCAACATCTTCTTTTCCTGTGTCAACAACAGTCTCCAGAAGTGATGGAGTCAACAGAATTCTTGTAATCTTGTGTTTCTTTAAAAACTCCAGTAACAGCGGTGGATCATAGATAACTTTATCCGGGATGATGTACAGAGGTATTCCTGCGAGTAAACATAAAATATATTATTAAACAATATCATATTTTTTAAAACTTGGAGCTGTATTCTGGTTACCGAATGGCTTCTTTCCACAGCCATGTGGTTGCAGTGGCGTAACACTAGGGCCGGAGGCCCTGTGGTTCTTCTGAGACTGGGGCCTTTTTTTCGGTCACAGTCGCTAATTTCATTGAGGGGTTAGATATGTTTTTAAATCATGTTTGCCATTTTATATATTATTATGTTTTTAACGACGAAAAAAAAATATATCAGTGGTGGATCTAGTAGGAATTTGAAATAGAGAGGGCCCAAGGAGGGACTTTCAGAGATGGAGAGTCTGCACCCTCTCAGCCCCACCAGTTGGGGCTGAGTTAAGGAAATTTATGATTATAGCACCTTTAGACGGCCGGAAATGGCACTCACAGATTTAAAATTTGAATATCATTCTCTTTTTTTTCTTTATTGTTTTTACAAATTTGACAAAACTAGGGGCCCCTTAATCCGCCACTGGGTATGATATGACACCATGTCCTACTGCCGATATCAGAGACACATTATTCTGTTATGTACCAACAAAGCTCTTTTGGGTCAGTGTGCAAGATCGAGGACGATATGTGTAGGGGTCCGGGCATAGGCGTTACACAACTGTATAGTTGGCTTCTGTTCATTAACTGCAAATTCCAGGGCAGTAAACAAAACTCTACACTTATGAAAATAAATTGATTTTTCATATTCATTAATGTTCTGTTGTCTTTTACTATACAAACATGAAATGTAATAAAATTACAGTAAAATATTGACTAAAAATACTATACAATTGAGATGAATAACATATTTACACATCAAAAATTTATATATTTTAAGAAAATAAAGTATATAAAAACATATGTGAATTTCCATTACAAAACTGGTTGTGACCTAGAAAATTTGCTGGTTTACCTTTCAATAGTGATCTGAACATCTCCCAAACGAAGAAAACATTTGATGCGACACGGTCGTCAGGCTCAAATGGATAGCTCTCATGTCTCCACGTGTACGAGAAGACTGCCCCACGGTGAGGACACATAATACCTAGGGAAAAACAAAAAAGTTAACACGTTAAAAAACACTATATTTATTTCAATATTCATGCATTTATTTTCAAGTTTTCACAGTACAGTAGCTTATCTAAAGAGGGAGGGAATACGCTCTCTTATGTGGAGTTTTGATAAATTTCAACTGACCTTTTGGTTTGCCTGTGGTTCCAGATGAGTAGACGACATAAGCCAAGTTATCAAGCGTGGTTTCAACTTGATCTGTAGGCTTCATGTTGGCATTTTCATTTTTTAAGTGTTCCAGCCAGTCTTCCTCCAGCAAAATCACATTCTTTGCACCTTAAAAAATAATGAAATATGTAAACTTCCATTATAAAAAAATGCAAACAAAAATAATAATAATAATACAAATAATACAAATGCATTTCATCTATGTGTGATGATCAGTAAATTAAAGTTCAAATGTTGATTGCTTCTACTTTTAGTTTCAAATGTAAATATACTTTGCCATTTACTATATGATTGGTTACAAATCTGGGAATGAACAGGGGTGTATCCAGGATTTTTTCTTGGTGGGTCGTGATCATAATTTTGTTGACCTTTTCACGATGAAATAACAGCTAGATGTGATTAAAATGTCAATACAATTTGCTTAAAGTGGATGGCAGGCTCAGTTTCAGAATTGCTGAAATTGAGATAGATTACGTCAGGCAACAGCCAAGGTCTTTGCACTCATTGCTGGTACCTCATGAATGTTTTTTCATGTCATTGTAAAAATATCTCCAATCAAGAACTCTAGAAATACCAAGCAGATTGTGTGCTTTTTTGCTGATTGACTGTGCTTTTTTCACAGGTGACTGACTTTGCTTTTTTGCTAACTGACAACTGCTTTTTGCTGATTGACTGCTTTTTTCATTTTCAGAGAAAAACAAATAACAAGCTCGTTCTGAGAATTAAACCAGGGACGTCTCAAACCATAACCTACATTCATGCATCTAGACCACCAAGCCATAGTTTTACTGTGTCTCACACTCTAAAGCAACATCATGCCTCTAGACCAACAAGCCACAGTTGCTATGTAATTTTGAAAGAAGTCTCGGAATACTCGACTGACTGATAGATATATTTTGCTGATTGATTAATAGATCTTTTTTCATTTTTGGAGAAAAAAAAACAACGGGCTCGTCTGGGAATTGAACCAGGTATTGTAGACTGTACCTCTTACACCCTAAGCTACATTCATGCCTCTAGACCAACGAGCCATTGTTATTGTGTAATTTTTAGGAGCTCTACGAATATTCAGCTAAATGATTGTTTGATTGATTAATACACCTTTTTTGTATGGGAGGCCATTGTGGCCAACACACTCTACTGCCTGTATTATACTGCCCTCATCGGAGCTTTCGAGATTATGAGAAATTGGTTTTTTTTTACAAAAACATGTGAAATGATATCACATCATGACCGTATATAGGCACATCATGACCATATATAGGCACATCATGGCTATATATGGGCATACAACAATTTTTTGTCAAAGATTTTGATAATCTAAATAGAGCTTTCCAAGCACTAGTGTGATGCAGGATGTAACTGCTACTTTCAATTCATATTTTGATTCCGAAAAATGCAGATTGCACACTGCCAAGTCGTCCTGAAGTATTGAACAAACCAATCAAATCCCGAGCTGTGGCTAGCGTAGCATTAACATTTCACATTTGCTGTGAATGTTATCGTAAGTAATGTTATACATCAGAAAATTGGATTCACAGCAATGCAGCAAAGCAAATGCATTTTGACACATACTTCACTCACATGTTTCATCAATCCATCTACCGTATTGTTTTATCTATCAATCAATGAAAGAATTACTGTATTTTACAGTAGGTTTAATATAAAATTACGAATCAAGATATACAATACCAGTACAATAAAGGAAATTTGAGGTAAACATACAAAATGTTATTACTTCTTGAATTGAATCAAATGTTACTGCCTCTAAACAATAATATATTTAGAATAAATGTTAATGGAATATGCAAATTAAACCTCAAAATTATAGTAAGTAATTAACCGAAATTATTTGAAAGATTCTTTGGAGCCTGGTAAACTATACTGTACAACCGGGCACTATTTGCCTTGTCAGTTACAGAGAAGAATAAATAGAAATTACATGGATGTGTGTAAATTGTTTACAAAAAGAGTTATTTATAATACATTTCTGTTTAAAGAGAATGACTTTGAAGATAATCTCAAAGTCATTCTTTGACATTCAGTTAACCTTGTTAATTGGAAATCCTATTCACTCCAATTTTTCTAGGATTTAAATGTTTTCTGCGTAAATAATGTGCCAGTTTTAACATAGGTTCTTTTCACATTAACATTTTTCTTAATCTCACATTAATGCATGTTGGAAATGAAAACATCATTTCATAGTCCTCGGATTGGCTGTGCATATACTGGGGCAAATGCAGGATTTAGTAGTAGGAAATGCCATGTGGGAGTCAAACCACCTGAGGACCACCATGGTTGGGGCTGAGGTGAGAATATTTTAAGAATAGCACTCTCATACCTTACAAATCTTACCGGTAATTCACATCAACAATACAATATAACAATATTTTCCTTTATACAATTTATAGGCTGCATCCACCCCAGATATAGTATGTGTCTCATGTGATAATTTTACTTTATGTACTAAAACTGCGAATGTACTGTAGGCCCTATGTTTTCGTGGTTTTATATTCAATGTTGCACAGATTGCACTGAACACTATTAGTGTTAAGGCCTGTCCAGACTATCAAATTTATTTTTAAAAACATGTCAGATGCCTAAATATGGTCATGATGACATCACATCATGACCATATATAGGCACATCATGACTAAATATGGGCAAAGAAAATATGGTAATCTTGACAGAACTTTATGTGGTTTAATTGGAAGTGGGATTTACTGTAGTTACATGAGTAGGAAACAGCAAAAATATGGCAAAACAGATGGTACAAGCATTTATCTCAATAACAATTAGGGAAAAAAATGGAAAATGTGATGTGATGATAATCTGAGCAATCAACTTTTAAATTCCAAAATGTTATTGTAAAAAACCCAACTATCTATTATTATTGGTAATACTGTAGAGTATTTTAATCATACAATACTGATGTTTTTGAGTTAACAGTTCCAATGTGTATCTTGTGATACCCTTGGACCTTCTAGATGATATTGGTTTGTTCTAACTTAACAAGGTCAAAGCTCATTTGTTAAACTTACATACTTTAACAGATAAGCTTTCAAAATCACTTTGATAGTAACATTTGTTACAAAACATTTTAGAGTTGCAGTATCAATGCAAAACCTGGTTCCTGTATAATTGAATGAATGGGGGGGGGGGTGTAGGAGGTTAATTCTACCTTGTAAGTTCTTGGCAAAGCTTTCTTTAGTCAGCACAGCAACAGGTTCTGCATCTTCAAGGATATCTGCCACTAGGTGTTGAGGGTATGAAGTATCCATCGGCATGTAGGCACCACCTAGAAGAAAAAAACTATTTATAAGTCTCTAGATTTTACTTTATAGGCGTATGCTGGAGGTTGCGGGAACCCCCTCACCCACCCCATTAGCAGAAAATTAGTTGCACTGAGTTGGTTAAAATACTAAAAATGACCATTCAAGTTTTCAATGGAATATAGGGATATAGTTCCGTGTTCTATTTTCGCACCCCTGCCCCCTAGGCCATTTTACACTCCCCCTTCACTCCAGGTCAAACCAGGCCAACGCTGATGGTCTTTTGGAGAAAATGCAGAATCACTAACAGCAACAAGATGTTAAGCTGAAGACTAGTAACCCTACCTGCTCGCAATGCTGCGATATATGACACAGTGTATTCTATACATTTTTCCATGTAAATACCAACGATTGCATCAGGACGCACGCCCTTCGATCTTAAATTGTACGCTAACACTTCAGTTACATAATCTAATTCTTTAAACGTCATCTGCCTCCCATTTTCGGCTACCACGGCAACTGCGTCAGGTGTTTTTGCTGCCTGCCGGATGAACATATCATGGAGACATCCTTGCTTCTCGTAATCCATCATTTCTGAATTTCTACATTGAACAAAATTAGGATTATATGAAAACAATAAATATAATTGTTATGAAACTTATACTGTATTTATTTCATTTAAATTTTTTATTTTGTCTAGAATTTCTTACTTGTAACTCTAAATACAGCAACTGAGCAAGACAATTAACATATATATAAGAACAATCCGCTCAAAACTATCATAAACACTGTTTATCTTTCAGCATGGGACATAACCATATTACACTAGTTACTGGTTAATATTCAGTTTTTGTTGTTGTATTTATGGCCTAGAAAAAAAAAAACATACATGCAAAACAACAGACAAGTTTAAACGAATTCATCAAAACGAATTCATCAAGCAAGGTGGTACCACTTCTTTCCCAGGCCAGTCTGATGTGGTGACATATTTTTACACAACAATACCAAGCATGATTCAAGCTAAGTCAGTCAGGAGAAAACAGCAGTATTTCCTCAGTGACTGGCATCATTGCGTAACGTCTCTGTATCCTTTATAATTGGTAAGGCCTAGGCCTAGCTATTCATTTTATTAAGTACATCTTCTTGCTAGCTAGAACATAACAAGCTACGGTGATCATCATACCTAATAGACCACGTCACAAAATAACCAGCTTTTGCAACATATGAATGAAGAGAACCGTACTTACAATAACAACCCCAACACCATTCACATGTTATTAACAGCTGCTTACTGTTTAGTACTGAGATAGCTGCTATCTATAGTATATTCTTTGCTGCCACCACCTCAGCGCTCTCGCTCTGAAAGATCATGAATATTAAAACTTCATAAGAACTTTGACCAATTGCGTGTACATTATGATACTAAATGGGAGTGGTTAACAAACCGCGGTACCCGGTTGACTGGCTGGACAGGTCATCAAAGCAAGGTTCCCGTCATAGTGACCAGACCTGGCATCATAAGGCCAAATGAAAAAAGACTTAAATGAACGAAAATGAGGTTCGGTATTTTATTTTTTTATTTATTTATTTTATTTTTTTTAGTTTTGACAACAACGAAAAATATTTCTTTAATGAGATAAAATAGGTTGGAATAGGCCTATATTGCTGGACGGTAGGCGATGCTATCGTTTTGCTCTTAAATATAAATTTCAAAATGGTCTTTGTTGTATTTTTGTGTATTTTCTATTTTTGAGGTATAAACACATTATTTTTCCTACCCAATTTTTGGGATTTTCGCAAAACGTGCCAACACAAGATTTTTTTTTTTTTTTTTGGTGGGGGGTGGGGCATAATTATGATATCTGGCATAATTTAGACCCTTTCGCATCTAGCGCTTGTGCTAGGCACTGGCCTAATTTTGGTAGACTTACATAATTTAGCATAATGTTGACCTAAGGAGAAAAATATATCAGCTCTCACCACTTGTATATTCATATTATATGAACAGGTAAAAATGATAAACTTTATCATAATTCAACCAACTAAAACCTTGGTTACCACATAACACAAATAATATTTTCATCCGAAAATGCTATCCTATCCACGAGTACTATGCTGTCTGTGTGTGTGTGCGTGTGTGTGGGGGGGGGGTGTGTGTGTGTGCGTCTGTGTATGTGTTTTGCTTGTTTTGTTTTTTTTATTATTATTATTATTTACTTTACTACTTCAAAGCAGTGAGTCCACAACCACCTCTGCCCCACCATGGTTGGGGCCGCTCAGGTGGGTGAGAAAATTTGAGGAAATAGTACCGTACTTTTAGATGACCGGAAATGACACTTTCATATAGTAAAATTCATCATCATCACGCGTCTAGATGAAGCGCCAGCAAATTTCTCATGATTTTTAATCAGTGATTTTTGGTAACCATAGAGATCTAATTATTATGAGTGATGTACCATAGGGAAAAAAATGAAGAAACACTTTCTTTGATATAGGCCTATTTAATGTATTTGACTATATCAAAGCGTGGCCACATTCACCTCAGTCCCACCATACCTCCATGGTCCCACCATGGTTGGTTTGATGTGAGAAAATTTAAAGAACTTCCAGATGGCCGGAAATGACTCAAAATTTTTCATCATCACCAACATTTATATAGTAAAATCAGCTATTTTCGACAACCACGGAGATTCTAATGTGTGATGTATTGTACCATAGAACATACACTGCTTAAAAAACATGTCTTTGATGTATTTACTTTATCTACTTCAAAAGTGTGAGTCCACACGCATCTCAGCCCCACTAGTGGCTGAGGTGGTAAAATTATGGGAAATTGTACTTCTAGATTGCCGGATATGACAATCTTATATGTAAAATTCATTATTATCAATCTAATTAATCGCTGTGATGTACCATAGAAAATAAAACTTAATTGTCCTTGATGTATTTAGTTTACCTACTTCATGTGCCGAAAACCAATTTTATCTTTGCACGCTTTTTCTCATACTTCTCAAATTACAATAAAGGCACGAGCACATGAATCGTGTATATAGGTAATCCAGATGTTTGTAGGCAGAATATACCGGTATCTTGCTATAAAATAATGTGCTCTGGCTGTAGGCCTCCGCGCTCTTTCGTTAAAACCTGAGTTATTTATGCAGTTTATTTCAACAATTTTCAGGCATATCTTCTTGATTCTCGAAAAGTGAGGTGGACAACCCTTTCCCCAAAAAAATGTAGGGCGGGGGACGTGTTGCCCTTCCCCAGTGATCTGCTCCCATGGGTCCGGTGGAACACGGTGGAACACTTTTTTGTGTGGAGAACTCTATCTTGTATTTCTAGTATCTTTGCCATTCCCAATTTCTCCCTTCAGGAACATCAGACCTCCGTCGACCCTGGCGGAACCACTGGGCAGAATAGTATTGAGAATAGTGTAGCTTTGATTTTAGGCGGGGAGGGGGAACTTATTTAAATAACCAATAATTTAAAATTTTTGGCAAATTTCCCATCAGCCCTTTTTGCATACTTTGATGCGCATCACTGGTCAGACACGCTGGTTCCATGAGTTTGTAAAGTCTCTCTATTTGTTTTACTATCTGTGATGGCTGTTTGTAAGTCGTGTATTAATTTTTTCTACGATGTTAACAGTGTTAAGGTCAATGAAGATCTAAATTAGATCGGGGTCCATTAATCGCACTTGATCCCCTATATACAAAATAAAAGTCCAGCCTTGCACTAGGCCAACACCACAGCTAGGCCAGGCTATGCTAGTAGTTAGAGAGTGGTAGCAGGCCGGGCCCAGTCCTCAGCCGGCCCTAGGCCGGGGTCCTGGTTTTCCTACAAGTAGTAGGCCTAGGTTTATAGCATTGGTTCTGAGCACCTCTTGTTTTTAACTTTCCTTATAAAATATGCCAAGGCATTTACTGTACATATTTGGCTAAATACAGCCACGGTTTTCCTTGGGAAGTAGCCTGTAAGCGGTCACAATAATGAATTACAACAATACAAAGATTACTTCAGATTTCTGTATTAAATGTTTTCGTGTCTGCTGCCCTCTATAGAGTAATATTTTGTCACACACACAAAAGCTACTGTATTCAAAAACGAAACTGCATAAATCGTTAGATAAAATTATTGACGGATTTTTAGACGTTTTTCATCTAAGCTATAAAGGTAAGACATGCTTGTGTGAAACTGAATTGAAAACAGCTAGAGCACCAAAAAACGAAACAACAATCATCACTAAAAAGGAATGATAGATGCAAGAATGTTGTTGAAAATAGTGAAAAAGATGATGATCGATTATATATGCAATAAACTTTTCAACAATTATCAATGGATACAGTGCATGTAAAACTTCTACCCTGAAAACAAATAGTCGAAACAAATATTCAATCCAAACAGGGCTTGAAACTTACAATAGAACCACGGAGATGCTAGTCCGAAAGAAAATGGTGGCTGAAGTGCATCAGATGGTTAATTTTATATTCCCTCTGTATTATGTAATATCTTATTGTTTATTTATGTTGCATAATTGTGACTCCACTTTCATATTGGATTGGATTGGATTTCATCGATGTGAAACACACCAAGGATAACCCACGAATGTCCTGAGACATATTTCCAGTGGGGACCCTTCTGGTGGTGATTGGGCAGTCATGGGCCTACACTGGGAGACAATCCCCAACTACTTGTTTCCGAAAAGTGTACTGCGTTCTTTAACAGCATGCACATGGGCCATTTTGCACACAGGACCAACTGAATTAAATTTCTCATCCAATTCATCCCTCCAGCTGAAACACAAGGAGAGTAGCGATGGGAATTGAACCAGGGACCTAGAGATCTCCACGGCTCAGCGCACACACAGTGTCTACCACTTAGTGAGCTTGCTGTGCTACAGTCAAAAATTGTGTTGTACATTGTTTCCATTGTTTATTATTAATGTTAAGATATTTTGTAATAAAATGAAAGTTGAGTTGAATAGTAGTTAGGTTCAACAATTTAATCTTTTTGCTTTAAAGTCAAAATTTGGCAACTATTGAAACTTCAATTCATGAGGTATAGCTTCATTGTGATGTGCTTTTTGTGCAGACATGTAAAGACTCTACTACCAGCTCCTTTTACTTATGTTGCCCTTGCAACTTAACTGAGTGGAACTGAGTTTTTGTCTCCCTACTGCCAGTGAGTTGCTGTAATGTTAGTCGGTTTAGTCAAAAAAGTTAATACAAATTATAAAAATTAGTGATTTACCTATATGGATTTAGTTATTTTTGTACCAATTTCACCAGCTGATAAGCCTTTACTTGGACAAGTCGCCATAGTAACAGGTGCTTCTAGTGGTATTGGAGCTGCAATTGCAACCCATCTTGCCAGTGCAGGAGCGTCAGTTGCTATAGCAGCGCGCAGAGAGGAGAAGCTAAATCAACTAAGGGATGAGATTGAGGCGAACAATGGTACTGTGTTTGTGATGAAAACAGACGTTGCAAAAAGAGAAGATGTAAGTGAATCTCATCTTTAATGTAATTGTTATTGTCTTTGTACAGTAAATGAAATTGATCAAATACCTGAAATATATTACAGTACATTGTATGAATTATTTATATATACCTGTAAATTATAATTTATGTATGAGTAAAGCCTCTAATAATGTCAACAGGAGATAAATAAAGTAAACGTTATTGTTTTAAAATATTATAATAAAAGGTGATGCATTGATGTTTATAAAATACAATACTGTAAATATCATATTGATTTTTTATATATATCCACGTTGTTATTTTTTGCAATATATTTTTCTCAGCTTTATTATTTGCATGTTACTGTGTTGTGATATACGATTGTGATTTGTGCAAATAATAAAAATTGCTACTATGTTGTTAAGTGACAATATGTAATTGGTTTGGCATACATTTTTGATAACATGAGTAATCTCAAGAGAATCATTACCAGAAAAACATTAATGATGCTTTTGATGCGACCTTGCATTTTCTACATGTTCTCTGAATTGAATCCAAATGTACGTTATGACTAGAATTTGTGTAATATTGAAAAAAAAAAACATAATAACTGCCGTTTGTTAGCGTAAATTATAACGGGTGTAAAACGAAGCTGTTCAAAAAAAATGACAGCGTAAGGTAGCTCCACGGTTTAACGATGATCAGCGATATTAGTGACCTTTCTTTTTTGCTTTGTCACCTCGTAAACATAAACAGTAGTGATACTAGAATAATGCATTCAGTTGTCTGTCCAGTCCAAAAATTTCCAGCAGGGATGTACTCTGGCACTTAAGCTCTGTCCAGACTATCAAATTTTATTTGACATAAACATGTGACATGCCTAAATATGGTCATGATGACATCACATCATGACTATATATGGGCATAAAGCAGTTTTTTGTAGAAGAAAAGTTGATGATCTGTACACAGTATAAGATAAACAAGGACGTTTGGCAATTTAGGCTATTCTCATATGATTTAGATTGTATTATCAGGGGTGGATTTAGGGGGAGGGCCCAGCCCCTCTTCCCCTCCACCCCCCCACTTTTGGAAAGTGCCGTAGTAAAAAAAGAAAGAAAGAAAAAGAAAAAAATTGACCGCCCAAAATGCCTCAGAGGTTATTTTTGGGCTTCTAGAAAACAAAAATTTTGCTGGTATTTCCCCGAATCCCCTACAGTAGCTGTCTCTTATACACATCTAGATGTGTATAAGAGACAGAGATTGCCATCATCATCAATTGGTGCCCCTTTGTACATTTGATCCACCTCATCCTGGGTATAGCGTTCTCCGCTCTGCATCATCTTAGTGGCAAAGCTACGGAAATATAATCATTATCAATGTGTGTAAAAAACAGTGGAATATCTTTCTAAAAAGTCCAAATATTAAACTTACGAACACGTCATTATCATTATCGTCATTCATGTCTCAAACATTCTTGACAATATACTGTTCGAGCTGAATATAATATTTGATTCATACAAAAGACATAAATCGCAGGCCTAAGCCATGACAGATGTGCTCTGTTGGGGAAGGGTTGTCTAAAAATTGAACCGTACCGTACGTAATATTCGTTATCGTTTTTGTAAGTTTGCGAAAACTCCCTAATGTTGATATTGTCGCGGATGATACGATGATGTTGATGATAAAGTCAATGATAATAACATGGTTTTATAGAACCATAAATACGTTTTTATATAACGTAATTTCTGTCTAATTGTTTGCACAATATACCCACAACGCCCATAATGTTTGCGAATACTATGATAACGTTTGGCGTTTGCTGGGCCGGAAATGATTGATAACGATGATGATGTTGACGATAATAATGACGACAGTGATGATGATGATGATAATAATACCAGGGCCAGATTTAGAGGGGACTGGACCCCTCCCTTTTGGAGAGTAAAAAGAAAAAGAAAAAAGAAAGAAAATTTATCACCCAAAACGCCTCAGATGGTATTTTCAGGCGTCTAGAATGCAAAATTCAAGGCAGTATCGTCTCGATCGGCCCCACTTTCGCCCCCCCCCCCCTTCGGACATCTGTGGATCCGCCCCTGATTAAGTAATCATGAAAACCCACCTGTGGTGTCACCTCTGGACTCTCTGGCATGTTTATCACCTACAGCAAAACATGAACAGAAAAAATAATTTATAGATATTGCCCTCTACCAGGCTCCAATATGTAACTCAGCTTAGCCTTCGATCTTGCTATATCTTTTGACTATTTTCGGGTCATTGATTTAGTTTTTAGACCATACCACTAAGTGATGTATGACTTGGTGTTAAACATTATCACCTCCTGATTGCCTTGTAGATAAAAACTACCTTATTTAAAGTCAATTTTGCTTTATAATATTTATGAATGTATAAAAGCATGAATGAATACATAAAATGCATAAATAAATGAAATGATGCTGTTTCCACATATTAAAATATAGTTATTTTAGAAATTTACTATCAAAAGGAATGAAATAAATTATCAGTGTTGACTGTAGCATCAATTAGACTAGGATTTCAAATTTAATTAAGTATTTAACTCTAAAGGATGATTTTCTTATAAGTATATAGGCATCATTTTGAAGACTAATTTTAGTTTTTTTAGTTATTATAATAATAATATTTTATGTGTTAATGGTTTCAATATTTTTGTAAATGTAAAGATTGACATTTTTGGGTGCTGAGCGTAATAACAGTGAAAAACATTGTGATGGTGAATATGATGATAATGATAACAGTAAAGGTCATTATGTTGGCAAACATGACGACAGATAATGATGATGATGATAATGATATAGATGATGTTGACAATGATGATGATTATCTTGACGGAGACAGGAGCAGCGATGAGGATGACCAAAAGTGATGATAAGATGATGATAATGATGCCCAAAATTAAAAAGGTGTGAGGTGGAGCTGTATGTATAAAACATGTTTTCAACAAAACTAACATTGTTAATTATTTACTTTCATCAGGTAAAGCGCTTGGTTGCTGAAACAGAGAAGCAATTAGGACCAGTTGACATATTGGTGAACAATGCCGGAATAATGTATTACACATACATGAGAAGTATACAAGAAGATCAGTGGGAGAGGACTATTGACATCAATTGCAAGGTTGGTCATTCCTTCTTCACATGCATAGTACAGACCATCTACAGTAGGTCTCCCTCCAAATAAAAACCAAGTGGTCTTTATTTACAGGGAGACATGTAGTTGATAATAATAATAATAATAATAATAAAATATTTTCAGGGTGTGATGAATGGAATTGGTGCAGTACTCAACGGAATGTTAGAAAGAAAAAAAGGACATATTGTGAACATGTCATCAAATGCAGGCCGAGCGGTGAGTCTATGAAACTTTTGTTGAATTTCAAGAATATGTAAATAAGCCACGTTATAAATAATTAAATAATTATTATTACAGGTCTCCCTCCAACTAAAGACCACTTCTAGGACCAGGCTTTCCATGTAATGGTCTTCAGCAGCTTTGGTCTCTAATTAGAATAATAAAGATATATGTTAATTTAGGACCACAGAAAATTGGTCTTTAATCGGAGGTAGACCTGTGTATTTAATAATGATCTTCTGTACTTCAAGGGTGAGGAAACGTAATTTGTATTTTAAATAGTAGTTTTTAATCGATTTATCTTTCCAGTCTTTTCCTGGACTTGCGGTCTATACTGGGACCAAATATTTTGTAGAAGGAGTTTCATCATCATTAAGAAAAGAGATAGCAGGAACTGGAGTTAAGATAACTTGCATCCAACCAGGTGACGTTACCACAGAACTCATTGCTCACACAACAGACCAAGAGGTAAGTTACAGTAGGCTGAATTAGTGTCTAGAAAATTACATCATTATCTCTTAATATTTAAATTAATTAAACCCGCTTACTCTGATGTAAGTTTGTAAAGTTGCCATTCGACTGGCGATGCCAACCACATGCTTCAGAGACAACATGTAAGCTAAGAAATACCCACACTCTTTAAATAATCTTCATAAAAATATTAATCTTTGTGGAATCTCATCTATTTATTAATTTTTTTACAAAAAACCTCTTCAATATAATATATTCTATCCTCGGGAAATCTTTAGACTTTATTCACGCCTTGAAATTGATTAGATGGTATCATATTTTCAACTCCATTGTGATTGAGTCATATACAAATTTTCCATTTAATCTTTTCTAGGCTAAAGCAGAATACGCCGATGGCAGTGGAGAGAAAGTGTTAGATCCTAGTGATGTTGCGAGAGCCGTAGTGTATGCCGTCAGTCAACCTTCACATGTCGCTGTTAATGAAATTTTGATTGAACCGAGACACGCTCCGGCAGTGTAACTCGAATATGTATTATACAGGGAATGAAAATTGTAATTGTACAACTTCGAAAAATAGTGGTATTGTAAAATACCCTTGCAATAATTTTGGTTGTGTGTAACTTATGTGTTACATAGAAAATATTGTGTATACCGTAATTGAATTTTTTATATGTTACATAGACTATGGTTGTGTGTGTAACTTGAGTGAATATAGCACATGTGCATTTATTTATTTTAGTTTTCTGTCGCAGTCCCACATGTCCACATCATATGATACTGCATAGAGTAAACACCCCCCCGCCCCCCGTTTTGGACACTTTTCTGCCACATATCAAGGATATCTTTTAACCTGATAATCAGTGACTCCTCAATTAAGAGGACATTTTTTTGGTCCCGAAAGTGTTACCTTTAATAAGGGTTATATTATCGTATATGTAGGTAACTTGTTGACAATGTTTAAAAACCTGAATGTCCTGATATGGTTGTATTCTCATTTATATTGTTGGTCACATGACCAATACAAAATATTGTGTGTTCAAATATGATATGAAGGCACATACATACATACTGTAAATAAAAGGTATGTGGATTGATAAAGCAGGCCTATGATGTGGACTAGTAATGATGTAAATCACTGTTCAGGGTGGGGGATTGCCCCCACCCGCTAAATTTTTCAACATTATTTACAAAATGAAGAAAAAAAGGAAAATTATATTTAAATTTATTTATTTTATTTAGTTCTTTTATTATATATTTATTTATTTTTTCATTTATTTAAAAATAATTAATTTCCGGCCATCTAGTGTGCCATAATCATACATTTTTCCTGGGCCCCTCTCTGTTTTGAATACCTGGATCTGCCACTCTGCAGATGAGTTATTTATTCCCCTGATTTTATTTATCTTATTAGTTAGGATGAATCATCTTGTTAAAAACAGGATTTCTTTTTAATGTTATTTATTATTCATGAATGTATTACCTTCATGGACTTTATACATTAAATATGTATACAGTTGTGTTATATAGTGTATATTATATATACACTATATAACATATATATATATATATATATATATATATCATCAAAGAAAGGTAAATACAGTGTTTGAATAAAGGACAATACAATGAATGTAATTTAACAGTGTTAACAGCAATCTTTAATTTTATATATATATATATATATATATATATATATATATATTGTAACTTATTTACATACTAGATGTATTATATATATATATAAATATATATAATGCATCACACTTGTATTATATAGTGTTTATGATATATACACACTATATAATATGGTATATTATACCTTATATACATACTAGCAACGAAAATTACCACTTTTTAAAAACCTAATAATACAATGATCAGACGAAATTATATAAACCTGTATTAAAAGAATACAGGTATTTGAAACCAGTGTTATGCTAATTTATATTTAATACAATCACAGTGTGCTCATTGTTTTTTGTTTTGTTTTTTTGTAAAGCATCTAAATAAAAAGCTCTCAAGACACACATGTTGTTTATTATTATTATCATCATTATTATAATACTTAGGGTTATAGACTCACTTCTATCAAGTAAATTTATGTTATAGGTTATACCCATTATCAGCTGAAGAGAGACACATTTTCTTCTAACGATGTGTATTTTCCAACACCACGTATATATTTCTACTAATGACAAAAGTTAATACAATCTTCAGACTATTGTAACATTAGACATACACGGCTAACTTGAGTCGGAGAGCGGTACCGATAAAAGATGAACATTTTGCTGAAAAGCAGGACATAATGTAAAAAATAATCAACAGTTAATTATAAAAAAATTCATTTGATACGGTACGCTTTTAATAACTTCATTGAGTGCTAAAAACTTACGAAATTAGGAGAAATTTTATGTATAAAAAGTAAGGAATTTTAGAAACGATTTCTGGAACGGTTTATTATGTTCGTAAATATGAATGCATTTAGTGGAATCGGATCCGCTTTTTCTCATTTGATAGGTTTTTGATAACTTCAACAAATTTAAAACTCTAGAAGTTGGAAGTAAGAGAAATTTAATGCGTGCAGTTTAAAGTAATTTAGATTCAATATCTTGAACGATTTATTATATTAGTAAACTAAGGAGGTATTTAGTAGAATTCTCTGTATCGGATCCAAATGTTTTCTTTTGATACGTTTTCAATAACTTATAATATTAAAACTTTTAAAGTTTGAAGGAGGAATGGCGTTCAGATTAAAGCATTTTCGAAATGATGTCCTGAAAGATTTATTATATTCGTAAATAAGATGAAATTAGTAGCACTCTCTTTTTATTGGACTTAAATGTCAACTAATTTCCTTGATCATTTCGCAGTCTTCATTTCAAAACGGTGTTAGTTCTCCGTCTTCTGTAAATACTAGGCCTACGTAAAACAGCTTGCTTCCGTCACATGATTGATAGCGATCTTCACGCAAAACTTTACAAACATTCCACTAAATTTTTACACGATCTAGCTAATTAAAAATTACCCTAATTAACAATTCGCACACACGGCAAACTAAGCATCATTAGTCAGTAATCTCGACCTTGCAACTTTATCAAAAATTCATAAATCTATGTATCCTTAGCGATCGTACATTTTTCATATCCATAATGCCAAGCACATTTTTTCCCCACTAATATATAGCAAAGAAGTGTAATGAACTCAATTCGATATTATATATATCATGATGCTTTCGTATGTAATACCGCTGTGTATGTTATGATAAAAGCATTCATGAGTAAGATATGTTTTTTTGGAAGCATACAGTAGTGTGTTATAGATTCTACACTATCCCATCAACCGTTCTGTTCAGGTATTTGCATTTTACGCGTGAGTGAAGAAACGTAATTATCTCATCTCACATCCGATTTTTTTTTATTCCGAACTAGTTCCTCTTTTGCCATTGGAACACGATCCATGGAAATATCAACGGGTTTTTTTTTTACATCGCTTTTTGAAGATTGATGCCGTTCGCTACACATCGCCGACTCCAGAGCGTCAGTAACTGAAGTGCTCTTGCAAGTTGTAAATAGACATCGAGTAGAAATTACTTCAGCAATATCGGATTCGATAGAGAATATCACGCTGGTGATATTTAAACTACTGAGATGGTTGATACAAGTAACTTTGAAAGCAACGATCAGAAAAATGTGAAAGATTTCAGCGAACTTTGAAACGGATACGGGAAAGTGCCATAATTAATCGTACTAATTATGGATGGTCGTCTTCTAGCTTTACATTAGAAGATGATATCGTTTTAGATTATTTACCTGTATCTGAAACATCTTCATTACGCGTGGAGACTTGTAAAAACAGACGTTTAACCTAAGTGTAAGTTGTAACACTTTCCAAAAAAAAAAGGGTTTTAACAGGCCTACTTTTGTTTTTAACCATACTGCTTTGATGGGTCTGTCTGTGTTGGATATTTGCGGTAATGTTGTACAGTGTTCTGAGCAATATAGCACCCAAAGTGTACATTAACAGCCATGTGAATTTACCCTGGAATAAATTATTGATCGCAGTGCATTGGAAATACTATTTTGCACATGACATTTTGAGTGAGTGACGTATCGATAGGGGATCACTACCTCGATAATAGTTTTATTTCTTGCTCCATATTACTGAATACTAGCGTCTAGACATACTTCTATTAAACTTATGAACTCGGTGCGTTTTGACCGTTTCGATTTTATTTAAAACTCATGCTAATTCTTGCAACAGGCTTTTATATATAGGCCTATTTTTCAGTATCGTATTCCGCTGCATATTTCAAGCAAAATGTGGTTGTTTTTTTGTGTATTGACTCTGCTGCTATGTGATATCATCCGTGTGATAAGTGGACAGGATTCGGGCAATGCATCAATGTGTAAGATCGAGTGTCCGGAGCCGTTTAATCCTGATTTCGCTAGGGCAGGTAGGTTATAGCCGTATTACAAGTCAAGCTGTAGTTTATGCGTTTTAAGCAGTTCAGATAACCAGGCTGTAAAGTAAAAAATCGTGCAATTACTCAACCAAATGTTACCGTATAGAACAAATGCCACACTGGTACGCTTTACGTAAAAACGCATCTAGTTCGCGCGTACGTAGCAATCAGTTAATCACAATTTGAGCCAAATATGATATTTAAAATTTGAATACATTTTTGTATAAACATTACTTTATTGATTTACATAATTTACTAATTTAGCTGACCAATGTATAAATGCAATAGGCCTACGTTTACTTGTTGACTTTCCTTAATCCACAGACTTACAGTTATTACCAAGCCCGTGCCAGGGGGTTCAAGGGGTTCAAAAGTTTTCCAGAAATGCCTTTTTAAATCATTACAAAAAAATACCATTTGCATTAAAGTTCTTTAAATTAACTCCAAATATTTGAAATTTGACATTTTTATTGCCATTTCTGGACATCTGAGGTGTTATATTTTTTTAAATTTAACCCAACAATGATGGGGCAGAAGTGGATATGGACTCAAAGTGCCCTTTTGTGAAAAATTAGAACCGCCCTTTAAAAATCCTGCCTACGGGCTTGATTACTAATAACAATAGGTCTATGTGTAGACATTTCTGTATCTTATCTCGCTTTTATAAAAAAGAAAAATTACAGCACTACCCGGCCTTTTTATCTGAAACCGTGGATTGTCCGAATAATGCCTGTGACCCGACGTTTGATGATATTGTAAATGTTGATCGTAAAAAGATGCTAAATACAATAGTTCTATGAAATATCAGATAGGCTATAATTCCACAGGGTATATAAAATATTATAATCTATTATTATTTTGTTGCAGGAATTATATTGAATATTGGTTCAAGTAAAGCCAAATTCGATGGCAACTTGGTGCTAAACTGTAGTTTTGCTAGGGCAATACTGGAGCATAATAAAGTGTTCGATGAAAAGTTAGCTCCTTTCACAACGATGGCTGTCTTACGATACACCGACGTAAACAACCCACGTGAACTAGAAAGGGAATGTAAGTACATACTAACAGTTACCGTTACAATATAGCGCGTAGTTACGTAATAGTCGCTCGCGTATGCATATTGCGCGTTCCTGCTCAACGAGACGCTGGACAACACCCAATCACATGATGGAAAACACAGAAGGTTTACCATTTTAACAATAAGGATGAATGCAAACGTATTAAAAATTGGACTTAAAAATCCCCTGACAATTTACCAAAATACAGTGTGTATAATGCTTGACGTGTGCTGTAGTATTTAAAATTTTGGTCGTTAATTTGATTGATGGTAGGCATGCATCAATTACATTTGGAGCCACGGCTCTATTTTTGGACGGAGACTCAATTTAACTTATAACGATAAGGAGGATTTAAGTTACAATAGTACTAACCGTAATGAGTTTTACTTCAAACCATGAAAAACAAACAAATTGCATTATGTAGTTTATCTCACTTCAGTGATTACCCTTTGTTGCCCGTCACGTCTTTGATTTGCAAAACGCATTTAGAGTTCAATTCTTTCGCCTTGAATTATCATAATTCCAGGTTGTCAAACTGTATTGTTCTTAATTATATTTTCATATTACTATATTCATTATTATTGAAAATATGTACATTATTATTATTATTATTATTATTATCATCATCATCATCATCATCACCATTATTATTATTTATTATTATTATCATTATTATTATCATATCGTATTATTAAAAAATAATACAACGCATATTTAAGCAATGGAAGAGGTTTTTTACCTTGTCAAAATAGAATGTTATTCATTTAATTAAATGTAGGTGCAACTTATTGAGACCGTTTTTCTATTTCTCTATTATTATTGATCGTAAATATTGCTTTGGAAAGCAATCGATTATTAATAAATAATGATAATAATAATATTATTATCATTACTAACGTTATTTATTATATTATTATACGGACATATGTGTGAAACCTGCCGTTAAGGTTTATAATAACTTCTCATGGGTTAGGTCATCAGCACAGTAACAATTAAGAACATTCTAATTAGTGTCATAAATACCTTGGCAAGTAGCTGGTACTTCAGGATGAAACGATATCTATTAAGTTAAAGAGGTATACCTAAGGTTATGCTAGTCAATTGCCCACAAGCTGGATCAATGTTCATTATTATAGATACGTTAGTGTCATCTTAGCAAACACTATACCGTATAGCTAGGCTATAATTAGTACCGGTATGTAATGACAAGCAGTGGCATATCTAGGATCCTTGAAATGGGGGGGGGGGAGGGAATGTGAAATAAGGGGCCTCGATGATTAGGTGACGGGGTGCAGGCTCGCAAAATACAGTAATTTGAGATGATTTTTAATTACTAGTGCATGACTTTTTTGGGGGGCGGGGCGATTGGGGGGACGCTCACCACTGGATACACCACTGTAGACAAGGGGGTGACTACTCGTTTTTTCCTCCTTGGTATAAGCAAACTAGATATTATTTGGTGTCTATAGAGCTGATAAACCTATTACCGTCTGTTTGATTAGGCCCTATGTATAATATTTATATATAAGCCTGTATAAACAAGGAGATACGGTAAATACATTACTGTGCTCAAATGTAGGAA